CCCCAAGGGTGTGGAATGGGCTTCCTTGGGAGGTGGCCGAGGCCCCATCAGTGCGGGTGTTCAAGGACAGGCTGGACGAGCACATGGTGGGCATGTCGTGAGCGGAGCCGGCTGGAGCGGGGGGTCAGACTAGATGGCCTGGGGAACCCCTTCCAACTTGCTCTGTTTCTATGTTTTTATGTTCCCCAGCAACTGGGGCACATGGGCATCATGTCTCTGATACTGGAAGTAGCATGCAAGCATGAAAATGAGGAGCCTTCAGTGGCCTTTTTCCCCACAAGTTTGTCCACTTCCCTTTTCATGCCATTCCAACTGGCAGCCACCACCGGATCTCGTGGAAGTGGCTGCCATGGCTAAGACGTCTCCCTTTTCTCTCCGGAATCTCTCACCCATCACCTTCATAGGATGACCCTGATCAGGGGAACAGTCCTGCAGAATTGACTCCTGAACCATAAATAATCTTTCCCCCAGCCAGCCAGCCAGCCAGCCACAAACCCCTACCTGATTAAGCTCTCTTCTTGAGGCCCCTTTAAATGCCTGCCTCAAAGGGTCTAGGACTCTAGGTGAGCATCAAACAAGATTTCAACAACTGCAGAAGTGCTTCTCTCGCCCGCTGACCTAAACCATTTTCTGGCAGGTCCTTGGCCAGAACCTCCCACACCAATCTTCAATTATGGATCAAAACTATTCTTTGGGACAGGGGCCAAATTCAGCCCACCTACGCATCTAATCTGGACTCCTGGGGTTGCTCAGGGGACCACCCCCAGGCCCCCAGTCTTTTGCCCCGCCCACTGGCTTCTCTGCCGTCTCCTGACACCATTCCAAAAGCCTGAATTGCCTTTCCAAAGGCTTTGCTCCTGGCTGGATGGGCTTTGCGCTGGGATGCTTTGGGATTTCTGCCCCCCTTTGGCCCCTCCCAACACTGGAATCCGAGCCCTGAGAGCCTATCCAGGTGGAGAGAGGTGGTGCACCCCTGGGTCAAGGCCTTAAAAGAGGGGTGCACAACTCTTTGGGACCCTGGAGTACATTTGGAGATTTGTGGGCACCACCACAAATGCCTGACACGTGGCTCCATCCTACCATCTGCCCCTCACACCTGTGGATCTCTGGACGCTTGCTCTTCCGCAAAATGTTTGTTTCATGTCTGATGGACCCTGCGGCCTCTCTGCAATAAAAGATAGTCCAATTCAGCCAAATTGTTTGCAGTACAATATGGCTAATGCTTCTTTTAATCATCCAGGAGCTGCTTCTTTCAGGAAGGAGGTTATTATACAGATAAATTTTGTCCTGGAAAATTTAATATCCACGCTCTTTTAAATTATTTACCTGCTTTGTGGAAATTAACCAATGGGAGAGGACAAGGATTGCTTGCACTCTTCTGATGGCTAAAAGCTAACCCTGACATTACAAACTAGGAAATATGCTTGCACGAAAGCAACGCGATGAGCACCTCGGAATGCTTTCCCAAAACGAACAAGTGTCATATGGGAACCATGCTCAGATGGATATCTAGTTAAATATCTGGTCTGGTTTGTTGCAATGTGTGTATAGTGCTGGAAAACTATATTCACATGTACAAATCCATGCACATATATTTTAGAAAATGAAAATAAATATGTAAAAGTGGTTCCTCCTGCCCTGAGGATCCCTGCCTTAAGATTAACGCCACTGCTTCAAACGGGTCTAGAACCTTAGTGCTAGCCAGTGCAAAAGATGCAGAAATGGTGCTACACGGTCAGACTTCCTGGGGAGTTGCTTTTTCGTTGTGGCAACAGAGGAAGTGCCAAGCCCTCACTGGAGACAGCTCCACAGTAATTTTGTACTGCAGAGATAAGGTCTTTGGCCCAGTGCCAATCCCTCTGGCTGGACGGCACCGTGCCCAAGAGTTACGGGACAGGAAGACAATAATGCCAAGCTTTCTCAGTATGTTCATAAAGCATCTTGCGCCGTGTTATTTTCAGTCCGTGAGGGGAAAATCTCCCCTGACTCAGAGGTTATTCAGAAGACCAGAAGCACTGGAAGCGTGCCAAGTGGTACATGACACACAGTCTGGATGGAAGTGATGGCGGCCCACTTGTGAATCATTCTGGGTGAGGCCCTTCAGAGCGGTTACGGAGGCAGGAGGCGGGATGCCCAGCAAAGGAAGGGCTGGTGGTGACCAGCAAAGGAAGGCAAGCTTTAATTTGGGGCTATGGGCAATGCTATTTGCCCAGTTCTGCCCCCCCACCGCGTCTAGACAAGGGTGCCTGGCTAATACCTGGTATGAACACAATGCAAGCTTTGCAGGTGATGACAAGAAACCGTAATTCAGTGACAAGCCGCACTGAATCCCTACTAGGCCCACATCTAAATCCTCTGCACAACCCTTGTGGTGCAGGGTAACATCGCATTACCTAAATCCTTGCTTGCCTAAATCCACGGAGTCTGTCCCATGCACCATTCTGCTCCCAGCGCCTTTCCTATTCCTTGCCGCCTTGGGATTTGCCCTTTCGGGTTCTTCCTGGTTGTCACGGGAGGCCGGCAGATGCCCAGCCGAAAGCAGCGCCCGTTTCCAGCAGTAGAGCCCCACCTGCCGTTCAGCTTGCCCGTGGTCAAAAGGCTCGGCCTCTTGGGCACAGAGCGTCCCGGACCAAGTGCCGTCGCAGACAGCGTCAACGTCCAGCATTGATTTTGAATGCTGGTGCTCACGGAAGCTGGAACAGTTTTGGAAAACTATTCTGGGATGGGGAGCAGTACTGGAAAACAGATTTGCAGTCTCCCTTCCAAGGAAGGAAAGTCACCTGCCTCTGGCAAGCTCCGAATTGGCCCTGGGGACACACACGGCAGCTTTGAGGGCACAGTGCTGGGAGAGCAGCAGACGCGCCGGAAGGGGATTCCGCACAGATTCGGCACCGAGCACAGTGGGTGGGTATTTCTTTTGGGGCGCCAATGAGGCAGCTGGTTGCAGCCACTGAAGAGCCGAGTATGCTGGGATCTCACACCGTAAGGGCATTCTGGCCCCGTGGGGACCTGCCTGTGTGGAGATCGGTGCTGCCTCTCCATTCGGAGGCCCAGCCCTGGCTGCTCAGCAATGGAACTTGCTCAGCATCATCACGGCTAGTTTTCTTTAAAAAGAAATCAAAGGCTTGATTTGAACCTTCATGTTATTGACTGGCTGATGTGGATTTTTAGAGGTTTCTGTGGGTATACAGTGGTGCCTTGGCTCACGAACTTAATCCATTCCACGACTCTGGTTGTGACTGAAATTGGTGTGACCCAAGTCAAAATTCCCCATAAGATTCAGTGTAAATAAGGTTAATCCGTTCTGCAACTATTTTTTTTAATCAGAAAAAATTGAAGCAAAGTGACGAAAAACAACAAAGTGCCAAGAAACAACCAAGTAATGAAGTACTGTAAAGTACAGTGGAGAACACTAGCCTAGGTGGTGGGGAGGGAATTGTTTTGAAAGTGCATATAGTCAAGGCTGTGGTTTTCCCAGTTGCAATGCACGGCTGTGAAAGCTGGACCACAAGGAAGGCTGAGCGCCAAAGGATTGAGGCCTTTGAACTGTGGTGCTGGAGGAGACGCCTGCGAGTCCCTTGGACCGCTAGGCGATCAAACCGGTCAGTCCTGGAGGAGATCAACCCTGGCTGCTCTTTAGAAGGCCATGTACTGAGGATGAAACTCAAATACTTTGGCCACCTAATGAGAAGGAAGGACTCCCTGGAGACGAGCCTAATGCTGGGAACAATAGATGGCAAAAGGAGAAGGGGACGGCAGAGGATGAGGTGGCTGGATGGGGTCACTGGGGTGGTGGGTCTGGGCTTGGGTGGACTCTGGGGGATGGTGGGGGACAGTGTTGGAGGAGTGTTGTCCATGGGGTCACGATGGGTCGGACACGACTTTGCGACTAACAACATACCCCCCCCATAAGAACATTGGGGAGATCTCTTCCAGGGGTTTCCTCTCTTCGTCTCTTAGCTGCAGGGTTAATTTTGGCGAAAAATCTGTCTACAGTCACTTGTTTTTTCCTGCGCTGCATAACCCTCCAGAAAGGAGACACCACGTTATCATTCATCAGAGTCAACACTCTGTGCGCTACAGCGATGTCGGGGTGGTGCTTCTCAAAGAAATCCTGGCACTCGTTCCATTTTTTCATAATGGATTGTATCACGTCACTGCTAACCTCTTCCCCGCCTTCCTCTTCCCCAGTGGGATCCTCCCCAGCAAGCGCCTTCTGCTGCTCGCTCTGGAGCTCAGCAAGTGCTTCTGTTGCCAGCTCCTCTATGCCTTCCCTGCACGAACGTGACTGCACTCGTGGCCGTCTCCCCACTCGGGGGTGGGGGGAGATGGCCGCCATCGTGCTGGTTGGGGTGGGGAGATGGCCAAGGATGCGCCCGCCTTTCCTGCAGGAGCGTGCCCATGACCACGCACGTCTTCCCTGCACGAACCTGACTGCGGTCAAGGGGGTGGGGAGATGGCCCCGATCTTGGTTGGCACCCAGTGCAGACTTCGCGACCCAAGCCAAAATTTTCATGAAGGTTTTGTTCGTGACCCGATTTGGTTGTGAACCAAGGCGTTCGTGAGCCGAGGCACCACTGTACTTTTAAGAATGATTTTGCTGTCACGTTGAACTTACCTTGTGTCCTGAAAGGTTCGGTTTGGAATAAACCAGATGGATGATTTTTGAGTAACAGAAAAATTATGTCAGATGCTACCCCATGCCAATTTGCATACTTGGAGTGCCTGTGAGGGATGAGACTGAAAGTAGTCCCGCTGGGCTGGGGAACATGGGGAGCTGCAGGGCATTTTCCATCTGAACGTGTGTTCTCACAGACAAACTGCCAAACACTACAACAGTTTTCACTCCAGAACTTGCAGGTTTTAAAAACAATCCTGACTGGAGCTGTGCAGCTCATTCCCAAGTGTGCCCCCAGGTGAAACAGGCAGGTGGGGGGAGCAGGATGAGAGTTCATGAACGGAGCAAAAAAAATAGAAAAAAAAAACAGGAAATTAAAATGTCACAAATAAACAATCGGCTTTTATTGTTCATATTATAAAACATGTCAGATTTTTGGCAAATATTTTACAATTTCATTCCTTCCTTTTCTTTAAAGAGCCCATGGAAGAGTTTAGGCTGGAGAGGGGGAGGGCTGAAGAGTCAGGGAATGTTGGAAATAAAAGATGAAATTTCAATGGACTTGCTATAAAAAAGGTAAAAGGAAACAAAAAACCTGACCCAGTCGCTCCCATCAGAACAAAAATCCAGTTCTATGTTTCATTCCGCCATCCAAAGGAGGCCACGGGGTACAAAGCAGCGGGTGAAACGCAGCAGAAGTTGCTGTGCGAAGCCATTGCAAAGACGAGGGGGAATTCACAGCCGCATCAGTAGGGCCGGTTGCGTTGATCGCTTCTGAAGTCATTTCTGCAGGAGAGGGAGGGAGGGAGGGGGCGAGTTATTCAGGCCTGCACCCACACCTGTCGTGCACGCAAGGTGCCTGCAGCGGCTGGGCCTCCCCGCTCAGCCCTTCTCCAGCTGCAAGCTCCCTGCCACGTCCTCTAAAAGCGCAGCCTCTCCTGGTGAGAGTGGGGGAAAGGGGGTGCCTCCTGACCGTGACGTGGCTGGCCCAGGGCAGCCAGTCGTCCGGGGATGGGCCAGCGGGGCCTCTGCTGAAAGCCGTTCACGTGGGCCCGCCCGAACGTCCAGCTCCACCAATGTGGTCTCGTAGCCTGCTGGCCTCGCTCCGCACAGCTCGGGGGATGCCCGACCCACACGGGCACACACGGGATGCCTGCAGCCGCCATTGCACCGCACTAACCTTCCTCCCATTTTGCCACCAAAGCCGCCGCCACGGCCACCACGGCCCCTGAACCCCCGGTCGCCTCCGAAGCCACCTCTGCCACGGAAGTCTGTGAGGGAGGAAACACGTGCGTGAGAACCACGCAGGTGCCACGTGCCGGGGCGGCATCCACCACTCATCTCGGGGGGGGGGCACGCACCTCCTCCTGAGGGACGCCCGTCGTCCGGTCGGGGCTCATTGCACTGATTGCAAGAATTACGTCGTGCAAAGTTCATATTGCCACAGCTCCTGAGGGAGGCAAAGAAACATTTTAACGCGGGAACAGCGGTGGGGAGGGCGATGCGGGATCGGAGGTGGCACCGAGGCAGCTGGCAAGTGCTGGCGGTACCAGGGTGCTTAAAACGCAGCAGCGCACACCGAGCAACTCTCTCTACGTGTGTTCTCTCCCGCACAACTTCTCCATGCAGCCACGCACCTTTGATGGTGCTTGGGGAAAACATGTGGAGCCCTTCAAGCACCCATCAAGATCAAGAAGTTGGCGCCATGCTCCTCGGGGGCAAATCACAGGCCTGCCCCGCAGGAGGCCCCTCCGAAGCAAGGCCTGGTGCCTCCAAGCACCCCTTCGACATCGCAACCTGCTCCAGCCGGACTGCCCTCCCCACCAGTTGGGGAGAGAGGGACGTGGCACCGTTCCACCAGGCCTGCGGGCTGCCTCCCTGGGCTTCTCCTGCTCCCCTCCCCAAGCCTCCCCTCTCGTGCATTGTGCCTAGTAGGACTGCAGGCCCATAGACGGGCCCTCCTCCTGGGTCCAGGGGCAGGACAAGCATGCGCTAGCTGGCACCGGGGCCCGAATGACCCCCTCTGCCCCAGACCCTTGGAGAGCTGCTGCCAACCAGAGCAGAGAGGGAGCCTGCCTGGCCCCTTGGACCAACCTGGCCCCGGGGCAGACGCTCGGCATGTTTTCCCACCCATCTCCAAAGGGCCGCGAAAGGAAGGACTTACGGATTGGGGCAAACCCAATCGCCGCTTTTCGGTTCTCCGCCTCGGCCCTGGAAGCCGCCGCCTCTTCCATAGCCGCCCCCTCGTGAACCTGCAGGCACAGCAAGGATGCCGTTAGAGCAAGGAAGGGCTGGCAAAGACGCGTGGCGTGGCCCTCCCTTTGGCAATGGGGGGCTGGCCGCCCCCCAGAATCCCCCACATAGCCTCTGGCTGCTTCTGGGCTGGGGTCATGTGCAGGTCAAGAGACGGCAGGGCTGCCATCCTCAAGGTGGGTGGGGAGTTGCCAGCTCTTGGGAAGCCAGTGTGGGCCCAACCGCATCCATGCATCGATTGCAAAAGGGACCCTGGCTGGGTTACCACCTCGGCGCCCTCCTCCACCGCCGCCGCCTCGCAGAAATTCAGGTCGCCTGGTTGCAAAGGAAACCCTGATGATGCTGCCGTTGAATTCCTTTCCTGGAGGACGGGGAGAGAACGAAATCCACAACTGGTCAGCCTCAGCAAGGAAGAGAACGGGCAGGCTCCGCATACAGCAGCTGAACCCGGAGCAGGAACGTTTCTGGCGAGGAGACTGGCAGCAGGGCTGCAGGCACATCTCAGAAAAATCGAGGGAGCTTGTGTGCCGCCTTTTCCAAGCCCCCGTGCTCCAAGGTGCAGGACTGCAACTCCCAAGCACATCAGGACAAAGAGGATAACCCCCCCCCCACTCCATTTCCCAGCCCAGTGGAACCTGCTGTGACTTTGGGGCCTCGACACAAAAGACAACGTGCAGGAAAAGTCAAGGGCGCACGCACGGACTGCCGGCCAACGTTCAGGCGGCCAATCGTACCATCGAACCAGTCAATGGCAGCCTTGGCGGACGGCGGGTCGTCGAAGGACACGGTGGCCTCCCCCTTGGGCTTGCCGGTATCCTTGTCGGTATAAAGGTTTATCATGAGTTTGCCTGTCTTTTTGTTAGTCTGGAAAGAGAAAGAAAGAAACGTGTGTTTGCTTGCTGTCTGCATTGCCCAGAACCGCCTTGGCCTGCGGGAAGGATGGGACGTTCAAGGGGAACCATCACTCCCCAGCACAACCCCTCCCCCCCGGCTGTCGCAGGGCTGTCCTGAAGGTGCAGCCTTTCTCCCTCACTGCCCGCATTTCTCAGAACTGCCCTCCCCGAGCGCTGGTGAGAAGCCACCTGTCTGGCATGCCCCTGCCCTGCGGAAGCCCAGGCTGGGCCCCCGTGGCTGAAATGGCCACGTGCCCCGTTTACCCTTCTCCTGTGCTGCTGTTCGGCCTGCAACTTGCAGGGGCAGGGGCCTGGCTTCTCGGACCCATGGCAACCGGGGGTGGGCAACACCTGGCCCACGGATCTCGCAAAGCCCCCCCACCACTCCCCAGGCACCCTGAAAGGGCCGGTTTTGTAAATGGATTTTTCAGTGGCTGCTGCCTGGCGCTGCCGAGGGGCCACGAAAGCCGCCATTCGCTTGCCGTTGGCAGGCTGACCCGGGGTTGCCCTGCAGCACCTCTGGACGCATCCCCCCCTCCAACTGGGTCGACTGTGGCACAGGGCGGGCAGCGGGGCGGTGGGCAGTCAAAAGGACAACCACCTCGCTCGGAGCCCTCCCTGCCCGTCTGTTTCATGGCCCGTTCATCACTGGTGGATCAGACCATTCCTTTGGGGCAGGGGTGTTGGAACTCAGGCTGCAAAAGTCCTCCAGGGCTTCCCCAGAACACCAATTGCCCGGGGGTTCCCCTTGTACCGTCTCGTACAAGGATCTTGTACAAAGATGGTGTTATTATCCCGTTTTTGCAGGGCCTCCCCCACCCACTGCCCACCTCTTTGCTGTGAGGTGAACCGTTCCGGCACTTTGGCCCCAAACCCTCCTGCCCGCCCGCCCGCCGCTGGAAAGGGGCACCCGAGCGCTTCCCAGCGCCCCACCTGGCCCCCGATCTGAGCGAGGCGCAGCCCCCGTGCGCTGGGGGCCCCACTGTGAACCCAGGGAAAGGGCTTTTCTTGCATTCCTCCACAGATCCATTCCCTGCAGCAGAGTCACCTTCCAGCACGCCAGGTGTGTGCCACACTTCTTTCTTCTGCCTAAAGGTGCAGAACGCTGCACCCCACGCACTTCCGCCCAGCGGCCCAGCCACGGCCCCAGTCCTCAGCAGAAGGGGGAGGAAGAGCCCGCAAGCGTCGGCCCCAGTTCCTCAGCTCTTATCCTGACCAGCAGAGGACAGAAACGGGTTGGGCCGCCTGAGGGAGTGGCTGCCACACCGGGAGAGTGGAAGGAGGGTCCAAGGCAGAGGGTCAGTGGGTCACTGCGGAGAGAAAGGCCCTGCCTGTCTCGTTTTGTCTCCTGCTCGGCAGCCCAGTGAGGCGGCAGCTGTGGCCGCAAAGTGCACCTCAGTCCCTGCAGGATGGCGCTTGGCAGCACATCGGGGCCTGACAAGTCACCGAACTGGGATGATGCTGCAGCGTGGCGGAGTCAAAGCCCTGGGAAACGCAGGGGAACTCGCTGCTGGAAACAGCCTGGCTCAGCCTGCCCTTCTGCCTTGAGCGCGCTTCCTGGCACTTCCCCGCGGGCGTGCTTTGCACAAACTGAACTAGCTGGGGGCGGGGGGGGGGCGGACCTCCACTTCTGTGAGTGAAGGGTCTCCACTTGCGGAGGAAAGGAAGCTGGACTGATGGCCTCTTAGCCCACCTCAGCAGCGCATGCCACGAACTTGGCCGTCAGTCGAGACCCTTCCCAGCAAGGGGTAATCCTGTCACCCACCACCCAGGACAGGGAGCAGAGAAGGAAAAACATGGCACAGGCTTCGGGAATAGGAAGGCAGGCTGGGTGCCACCCAGTAGGGCTGGTCTCCTCACCACAGAAATCAGAGGAAAACTGCAGCTGAGTCTGGTGCTGCAGGAGCCAGATTCCAAAGTCGGCAGAATACGCTGACTGAGGAATCGACATGTGGCGGGAAGATGTTGCCGGCAAGGAATGCTGCCGCTCGGACCGTTCTGCCTGGAAGCACTGGCCAGCCTTTTCACACAGGCTGTTGCTTCCGGGGTCCACTGAGCTCGGCTGCACCTGAATGCCAGCGTGATCTGCCTTACGATCCCACCGGGAAGCATCATCAGCCTCAATGTGGACGGAATGCGCACTCGATCCACCCATCGCCCTCCCCCCCCGGCATTCACCCCACACGCTCGCTGGGTCTTCCCTGCCTCACCTCAGCAGCTCACGCACCTTAATGACACCTATTTGCTTGAAATACTCCGCCACCTGATCGGGGGAAACGTCTTCTCCAAGACCTTGTACAAAGATGGTGTTATTATCCGAGTTGTCCGACTCCGAATCTACGTTAAAAGGAGACTGGAATTATTTTAGAAACCAAACACCTTGCAGAATTTCGGAGGAGCAGAAGCAGCAAAGAACGCTGCAGCCATTTTCATAATGTGGGAAATCATAAAGGAACTGGAAAAAAGCCCACTTGGGTGCCCAACGTTGCTTGGAATAACACCATGTGCCATTGTGGTCGCCAAGCAGAAGCGGGCAGCTAAAGCAGTGAAGGGCTTGGAGCAGCTTCCTTGTGAAGAAAGGAGGCAACGGCTGCCACTATTTGGCTCAGAAAAAAGGGTGAGAAAGACATGACAGAGGTGTGCAAAAGAATGCGAGAGTTTTCTCCCTTTCTCGTAATACTGGAGTGCAAGGGGGTATTTCATGACGAGGAGTGGTGGGAGATTCAGGACAGATAAAAAAGAAGCGCTTCTTCACACAACACAAAGTTAAGCCATGGATTCCGCTGCCACAGGATGTCATGATGGCCACCCATTTGAATGGATTTCAAAGGGAACTGGACACATTCATGGAGGAGAAGGTGATGAAAGGCTACCAAGACCTCATGGCTTTGCGCTAGCTCCAGGGCCAGAGCGGGGCAACATGGGTGGGGGGGGGGGCAGTCGCACTCACGTCTTTCTTGAGGGTTTGGCCACTGTGCGAGCAGAACGTCGCAGGGGATGAAGCCTGGGCCTGATTCAGCAGGGCTCTCCTTATGATCTTAAAACGGTCTCTGTGGCAGTCAGAACAGCCACAATACTGCACATGCATGCAAGAGCAACCGCAGGGGGAAAGGCATGAGAAAAGGTCCAGCCAGTGTTCTCTTAGAGACCAAAAACCCCCCTTCTGAAAGTGGCGCTTGCTTGCATGTGCCAAATAACGGGGGCCTGCAAGCTCTAGCCAAGGGCTGAGCAGCCAGGCAAGCCTTAACTTTTTTTTGTTTGGTTTCTTAGAGCGCCCAGGCAGCAGTAAAGGAATAATGGCTGGGAAACCGGGGGGCCCTCCAGGCCAGGCCTTTATCGTGCGATTACACGGTCAGGCAACTCTGATTCTGCTGGCGAGAGCAAAACAGCGGGCTCCCTCAGCACATTCTCAAACGCCATTTGTGATGCGGGCAGCACAGGATGCCGCTGTGGGCTGCCAGCCAGATCTCTGTCCACCTGTCGGCAAGGACGGTCAGCTACCCGCCAGGGTTTCAGAGCAGACAGTGCTGGGAGGGGGTCCCGCCTGAGGCCTCCCGCACGCTAAGGGGAGCTCTGCCACCGAGGGCAGGCCTGGTGCTCGCCCCCCACCATGGCCCCGACCGCTATCTCACCCCAGTGAAGCCAGCGCTGTGAGCCACTCACGAAACCAAGAGCCACTGTGAGGAGGAGCTGGAGAGGTTTGCTACAGGGACTCTGCCCCTCCCTGAAGGGCCACACTGCCAGCCGAGAGCGCAGGGGGGCCCCCAAAGCAGAGCGCCAGCACCGCAAGCACCCCACCCGAGGCCTCTGCATGCTCGTGTGCTCCATAGTTGCTACTGGAGGACAAAGGAGCGGACTGCAAGATGGAATGCTGGGGCGCGGCCAAGGGAATGACCACACTTCAGGGACCCTTCAGGGGGCCACATTCTGGGGGTGGGCGGGCCAAACGCAAAGCGGGTGGGTCAAAAACACCAGGATATTTTAGCTGGGTGCTTTTACTGCCAGCATCTAACCTTTCGACTGGGACAGGGAGATGCACCAAAGCTGGGGAACTGCCCACCGTCCTCAGGGGAGGAAAGGCCACAGAACCAGAAGAAAGCAGTGCAGCCTTCCAGGGAACCTGAAAGGAACCCCAGGACCTGAGGCTCTGCACGTCCCTGTAAGCCAAGGATCGCTCACCTGCGTCGGCCTTTTGTCCATAATCCCTTTGACCTGTGGAATGGGCAAGAGAGAGAGGAAGAGGAGGAGAGAGAGGTGTATTTCAATGCGACAAACACAAACGGGCAACTGATATTAGATGTTAACAAAAAGGTATGCAATGCTTCAACGGAGACATGATTTAGAAGACATTGTGATTAAGAATGGCAGGAGATGGTGCTCAGGTAGAACAGTGATCCTGGTCTTGACAAACTGCCGGCTGTGGCGTGTGCCACATGGCTTCATGTGCCTTGCAGGCACTGACCGGCCGCTTCCGAGCTGTTAGCCGCAAGGATTCCCTCACTAGTCTGTTGTGCTTAGAAGAGCTTTGCGTATGCCATCCGGGGGGGCAAACTGATGGTTACCACGAAAAGCCTTTCATGCAATTTGATGAGAGGGGGAGAAAAGCAGAAATCCCAATTTTTACTTCATTATGAGCGTGTTCGTTTCCTCTAAGCATATGCACACACCAGCCTTAACCCAAATAGGAAAATAACAAAACAAAACAAAACGTTTCTAATGGACAGTAACATGGTCTTTGGTGGCTTTTAATTTTTTGGCTTTTTGATATAGAATTTCCACTGAAATATTTTTTTTTTTTTGGATGCTCAGCACTTACCACCAAAATTTTTGAAGCCACCTCGGTCACCACCACTGCAGAGGAAAAATTGAAGAAATGATTCCTTCTTTAAGTTTCGACATGCTGAGCCCATGGCTCAAAAGCTGCACTTATTGAAAGTTAGTGTGTAAGCTGTTAAATGCCACCCCGAAAGACCGACACGACTCTGCAGCAAGGGCCTTCCCTGCGGTGGGCCAGTCATTCGTCTTGCCAGTTCAGGCAAAGGCAGGGATACAGAGGCAAATGCCCAACCCGCACGGCTCTGCCCCACAACCCCAGAAGCAAATTACAACAGCATACGCCAAAAGGGAAAGGGGTCCCCAGCATCTATCACCTGAATTCTTTCCTAGTCACAGGATTAACTCTATTCGAGCCAAGGAGTCATTTCACTGGGACTGAATGTGCGGGGACTGCAAGAGAGTGTGCACATTTCCCTTACGCCAAAAGTCTGACCTGGCCAAACAAGAGCAATGACTTTGTACACGCTTGGCCACCCTTTGGGCAAAGGAGAGAGGAACAAAGGGGTCTTCTATTCATCGGGGCACAATCCACAGAGGGCACTCATGGATTTCCACCAGCAACACTGCATCCGGAATATTTTAATTCACATACCCAGAACTGACCTGAAACACATGCTGCTAAATTTCATGATCAGTGGGGCCATTATCATTCACAGCTGCAAATGCAACTGCAAGTTGTGTGCGTGAGAGAGAGATACTGAGTCTCTGGATTAATGTGGCAGCCTGGTGCACTGGTTAGAGCGTTGGACAAGAATCAGGGAGAGCTGGGGTCACCTCATCATTTGGCCAAGAGGCTTGCCGGATGATCTCAGGCTACTCTCTCTCTCTCTCGGTCTACTCAGCCCGGGCCTGGCCTACTTCACAGGGCTGTTGGGGCAATACAAGCAAAGAAAGAAAAAGTCCAGAGATGGCCACCCTTGTGTCACACGTCTTATAAAACTGGGATCGCTCACTGAAGAGTGGGGCCAAGGGGGCTGCGGTACCAAAATGCCCACTCTGCCTAACATACCAAGCAGGACGGTTGTAAGGATTTGTTTGTTTGTCTGTCTGTTCGTTTGTTTCATATGGCATTGGTGCAATTAGCCAGCAAGTCTGCCGTGCTAATGCAGAGCAGTTTGGCTGCCCAAGAGCGCTAGCTCCTCCGTTCACACTCGCGTGCCGTCCACGGTGCACCCCAGGGGGTGAGCTTGTAAGGATAAAGAGGAAGGCCCCTTGCATGAAAGGCGGGAGGGGAAAATGCAGTAAAGCAACGAAAAAATACACGACATCTTATGCATTTAGGAAGAAATGCGCCGGCCTCTGAGCTCACGTGCGGAGACTTCCACTGCCCTTCCGCACTGCAAGAGGCACAAGCAAAGTGTCAGCCTGCCTGCCCTGCCCTGCCGGTTCAACACGGCGGGGGGACGCCAGGTTGCGGGGAGGCCGGCTCCCAGATAAACGGCGACCGCGACAGTTTTTTGCGTGCAAGCCTGCGCGTGCGTTGACAGGAAAAAAAGCCCTACAGCTTGCAGCGCACGCCAGCCGTGGCGGCTGGGCACGCTGGGAGCTGCAGGATGCAGAATCCTGCCCCCCTCCCCACTCACGGCATATTCACAAAGCGAGCACGGAAGCAAGCTTCACAGCGTCTTCCTCGGACTCTTTTACAGGGAGCCTCTTCCGCAGCCCTGGTGCTACAATGAGCTTATGAAGCAGTGCCTTCTTCATGTCCAGCCAGTGGAGGACCACACTGCAAACCGGAGCCCTTTCAGTGTGGGACCGTAACGGGCAGTTTTCGGTCCTGCGGCTTAAATGCAGGGCACAATCCTATGGGGAGAAATCCCCACGGCAGGACTTTTTGTTGGAACATGCACAGCACGGCACCCTAAGACTTCTCAGAGCCAGGCGACCCTCAGTCATAACCGCTAAAAGCAAGCAGGGGCTGTTCTCCATGCCTCTGAAGCGGCAGCACTGTGCGTTTGGCATGAGAGAAGCGTTAAAATTAGCACGATGGACACACGACAGAAACCGAACCCTGTGATAAACGGCTATTTTAAGAGCCGTGGCCTGCTGCGCTCAACTATGTCCGGGCCACCCTGGGCGCAGCAATCCTCTGGTCTCACCCCGGGGAAGCCGGACTCGGTCCCTCTGGGTTGCGGAGTCCTCCCGCCCGGTTCGTCCGCATGTCCTTCTCCAGCTTTGAATAACAGCATCTGGTTTCTCCGCAGCTGAGCTTCATGCCTGAGGGACCCCCTGAGATGCCGCACGGCCTGGCCGAAAGTCCTGGCCGGGTTCCCAAGAGAAACAGGGAGAGAAAGTCGGGCCTGGCCCCCTCCGGCTGGGACTGGCACATGCGTGGCTCTCCCACCAGAAAGCCACGGGAATTTGGGTTCCTGGCTTGTGTGGAACTATGTGGGGTTCTGACGGTGCCACTGGCGCTCTCGCAGAACGGTTGCCACTGGGTGGGGTTCGGCATTCATAAAAGGGGTGCCTTGCTGGGCACGGCCAGTCACAAAACGCTCTGTGGTTCTGAGTGCTCGCAGGCTACTGTGCCAGAGCTGAGAGGATGGGCCAGAATCCGGAGGGCCCTCCGAACCAGATTCCTTGCACATCCCTAGCATCTGTTTTACCTGCATCTCCTGCTGCGTCCCTGCCCACCAACCTGGCACTGGTGCCGAATTGCTCTGGCACGAGTCAAGCCAAGCCATGGTCTTCTGCTTTCAGAGCAGGCTGTGATTTGCAGATTAATGGGCTGAATAAAAGGGAAGGCGGAAGAAGCAGGATGGCCTTTTCTGGGAGATGCTTGGCCCTACAGAGCAGCGTGGCTCCCACCTTGGCAGCAGCAGGCAGCCAGGGAGGGGGAAGGCACCCTGCCGGGATCGAGAGAGGACTGCAAAAACCCATCAAGGGGCAGGAAAAGGAAGACACTGATGAATTCTGACCACCACGCCATCCTACCCAACCTTTTAGAAAGCCCTGCAACATTGGGTCAGCTGCTTCCACGGACAGAACACCATGTTAAAGACAGAGTTTGCTCCGAATTTGCCCTGAAGGACAACGGCATCCCAGAACCACCTGCAGTGCCGAAGGAAGAATGCGAACATGCCGCTCCCTGGTGCCAGTGAGTGAGGGGGCACGCCAGGTGGGAGTATCTATCAGACACTGCAGTCCAACCCTGGCACTGCTGAATGGGGTGGGGGGGCTGACAGAGACGCATGCAAACAAGGCTCCGGGGGCTACCATCCCAGAGTCTCCTTCCCAGCAAAGCTTGCACTTCCACCCGGTTCACTGTGCCACCGAACATGTTAGCTCAAGCTGGCATGGAGGCAGTGCTGCCCCTGCGGCCCACTCAGGAGATCGGCAGGTGTTCGCCTTTTGCGGTGCACGGCAAGTGCATGTGTCGATCTTCCAGTCAAGAGCGGTCCTTTGCACAGAATCCGGAACCGAGCAACAGCCGTGCTCTTGGCAGGCTCCTAAATTATTACACCCTGAAGTATCACAGCCCCCCGGCATCACCCTGAGGTGCAATGCCGCTAGCTACCCCCCTCCGGCTTCAGCCACTTTGCCTTCTTTTTCTACGCTGCGGGGTGGGGGGGGGGCAACAGGACTCTGGCAATATTGACAGCAGGCTTCAAGAGAGGCCTCCGACGGGAGGGTCCAGCATCACTCCAAGATTTGAGAGGCTAATCTGCCTCCTTTATGAGGCCACTTGCAGTTCGCCACTCCGCTTGGTAGCAAATCAGAGACTGTTTGGCCATGGCTTCCACGGTGGCAGATCTGGCAGAGGAGGGCCTCACACAGCCCACCGCGCCCACCCCTGCCTTCCTCCAGTTCTCAGGAAGAGGGCGGACAAGGTGGCGACAGGCAGCCAGGTGAACCGCACCGGGAAGGAGTCCTGTCTGGACAAGGCAGGCGTCACTCAGACACTTGAACTCTGCCAGGCTGGAACTCAGCCACCTGAGCCGAGTTAGGGCCCCGCACTTGTCCGCGTCTTTGGACTACAGAAAGGGCAGCTACTTTTGCAATGCAGAAAATGAGTTCAGCGCATTCAGCCAGAGAGAATGACAGCATTCACCGCTGAAGTTGCGTTACGAAGGAGTCTATTTTCAGCTATAACTGGATGTGATGCCGACTGGAACAAAAGCCCTTCTGAAATAGCTCGAAACACAGACAGACCTTGTTCACTCAACTGAGAACCCGCCCAATTTGGCGTTGGACTGCGTGACAAAGACAACGGTTATCTGGCTTGCAGAAGCCAAACGTCTGGGCAGCCTCAATTCTCAAGAGAGCCATCAAAGGAACAGAAAATGTGGCTTGACTTGTTCCTTCACCTGGAATCGCCGCCTGCTCTGCAGAAGTCAGCACGCTAGTTTCCTTTTGTGGAAGAAAGGCAAACGCTGGCCGATTCGGCCGCTGCGTAAACCAAAACCGCTGCTTGTGGCAATGCTGGCCTTCAGGGGCAGCTGCACACCCCAATTCTCTCACCTGCTAACTGGGAAGGCTACGGGCACACCTGGGCCGGACAGTGGTGGGTGCCAGTGAAGGAGCTGTATGGAAGCAAGGGCAGCTACATGTTTAGGTGGGGCCATGCCAGAACCCTTCTAGCTGAGCTGGCCACGGGATGCTGCCTTATGTTGCTGACTGGGATGATGGAGGTTGCAGTCCAACACATCCAGAGAGCACCAGGTTGGAGGGGCCCGAGACTTTCTCTCCCGCAGAAGGGAGCGCCACCCTTAGTTCTGGGGACCTTTGCTTTCACCTGCTCTCCACCCACTCCCCCTGAGGGCCGAACTGCTCTGCAGCTACCAGTTGCCAGGATATTCTCGGCCCTCTTTTCTGTGTAGGGGACAAGGGATGGTGCCGAAGCAGAAAAAGCACTGCTGCCTTCCAATCTCACCCCAGGAGTGTTTAACACGTCCCCTGCTCAAGCAAGCCCCAAACCCAGTGGGCTACAGCCAGCCATGGACAGCCATCTCCAGACAGCAGGAGAGAACCCGTTACCTTAAGCCAGACGTGGGACCTCTGCTGTCGGAATCGAACCTGCTTCCGCCTCCTCGTGGCCCACTGTAGCCTCGGTTATCGTCTCCATACCTGCTCTTTTCACGGCGGTCATCTGAGGGATGACAAAGCAATTCCTGAGGACTGACATGAAGGGGGATTATGCTGGTCCCTTAATCGAAATAAAGACTGTGTCGAGCGGCCCCGTTGGAAGGAAGCGTTCCAGATTAGTGCCCGAGACCCAGACCGAGACCAAGAGCCAGGCTTCCGCTCAGTCACAGCCCTAGCTGCATCCACTGAAAGCCTTTTGCAAAGCAATCCTATAGCTGCTAAGCCAGGTTCCAGGCAGCCACAGGACCTTTGGGATTCCCAACTAAGGGGTCAGAAAATTGGTCTGACCCCAGTGCTGGGCGTCCACGCACAGATCTCCCCCAACACACACGCACTGGGAGTGAAAAAGGCCGTGCAGTTGCTTCTGCAAAGTTGCAAACATGACCTCAGAGAAGGGCTCTGGGGGGCATTCTGGCACAACCAAGGGGTAACTTGTCCGGGTGGCTCCTCCGCCTCCTTCCCTCCTCCTCTGGAGAGCTGAGATTGGTCGCTGGGTGGCTTTGCAGGGCGGAAAGGCTGCACAGATGCCCTTCACCACATCGCTCTACCGGCCCCACAGAGGATGACTGCAATCCCCTGCGCCAGGGAGTGATGGACTGAGGAATGGATGCAGCCCATGCGTACCTGTGAAAAACACCAGCTCTGGGGGAAAGAGAGCAGGCCTGTTTGCAATCACACTTCGAGTATGTGACATGGAAAGCAATGTTATACATGACTAGACTCATGGAACAGTAGAGTGGGAAGGGGCCAGGAAGGCCATCGAGTCCAACCCCCTGCTGTTGCAGGACGCCACGCTACACCACCCCACTCGGAGGGCTGCCCAGTTTCGTCTTGGACGTCTCCAGTGTGGGGGAGCCCCCCACCTCTCCGGGTAGCTGGTCCCCCTGTTGCATTGCTCCGGCAGCGAGGAAGCTCCTCCTGATGTCCAGCCTGAATCTGGGTTGTTGCGGCTTGAACTGATTCTTCTGTGTCCTGCACTCTGGCACCAGCAAGAGGAGGTCTTGGCCTGTCTCTTTGGGGCAGCCCTTGAGGGATACCATTAGCCAGCCGGACTAAGGTACGTCTGCACGCAGTGTATGTTTGACTGGCCTCCTCAAGACACGACTGGGGACACAAGCTGGCTGGGCTTGCCGGGAGCGCTCCCTGCCTACACGTGCATCGGATCCAATCCAGGGCCAATCTTGTAGTTCCAGCAGCTTGCTGTGAGGGCCACCACAGGTAGCACCTTGGGGGAGGCAGCCACTGCGATGCAAATGCAGGACTCTGAAGGCCACCAGGAACTTTTATTTCACAGCAAGCCCTGCATGTGGTAAGAAGGTCTGCTATTTGGAAAGGGGGGAAGAAGGCAGGGCACCTTGCTGGGTGCCAAGGCGGCATACAGGTGTGCAGCGTTGTCCGGGGCACCAGGTGGCCTACTCCTGGCCTAGGGTTTCTGGCAGGTTACAGTGAGGCGGCCCAACAGGGGTGGCACCACCAAATGCCTCCCCAATGAAGCAGCATTTTGGCATTGATGTGCCATACCTGAGGCTCTCAGGGGGCATTTCTGAACCTGGTTTCATAGCTACTGAACCCTGCTCCATCGCTGGCCATGCATGGCAGCTTGTGTTTCGCTCAAGCAGGAGCCTTGTCGGGAGGAGGGCATTTTGCATGGGCATGACCTCTAATATTCACCGATGTGCGAGCCCTTCCTGTTGATCAGCCATGCTCTGGGGGTCATTTTGTTCTTAAAGAGCTTTCACATATTTTTTTTCCTTCTTTTAGTTGTCTCATCCTCATGCTGTTCACCACCCCTGGGCTTGTCTGAATTTGGAGTGGTATAGAAATACTGCAAAAATAATGAATACACGCTCTTTAAATTATTTAACCGCTCCACGAAACTGAACAAACAGAAAAGGGAATGGATTCTCTCCGAGTCTTACCACTAGCAACAGGGCTGAAATTACGTTCCTGAAAGGGTGAATGCGCACCCTCCTTTCGGCAGGCCCCCTGGAAGACACATCTCCGGGGCCCACCGCGGCAGGCGCTCCCAACACTCTGGCTTTGGGCAAATCCTCCCGGGCACTCCCCACGCGGCTCCTACCTTGCGTGTTGTGGCTGTAGCCTTCCTTCTGCTGGGACTGGTAGGACTGCTGGCCGTAGCTGGGCTTCTGGCCGAATGGCCCTGGCTGCTGCCCATAGCCCGACGGCGGCGACTGCAGCGGAGGCGGCTGCTGGTCGTAGGAGCCCCGATCCTGGCTGTATCCTGGCTGCTGCTCGTACGAGGTCTGCTGCTGTCCTTGTGGGCCGTAGCTGGACTGAGGGTCAAAGGAAGGCCTTTGTGGCTGCCCATAACCTGACTGAGGGTCGTAGGAGCCGGCCTGCTGGCCATAGCCTGAGGGTTGGCTGTAGGATCCTTGCTGCTGCCCATAGCTGGACTTCTGGTCGTATGAAGACCTCGCGCTGGAGCAGAGAAGATCACCGTGAGCTGCCGTTCAGCGCAGAGGCGCCAGGCAGGCTGCCGCGGCCCTGGGAATGGGCGCAGCCCACCAAACGCCAAAGGTGCGAAGCAGCCCCGCCCAACCAGCAGCCCTCCAGAGAGTCCCCTGACTCGTGGCCCATGGGTCTGGAGGGCCACCCCGGGGCAACACAAACTAAGAGGTTCTTGCAGGAATCCTTGGAGTTGTTCTCACAGGTGTCGGCCTGGGGGAGGCCATGTCGGAACTGCCGGAGTTCCCCAGGTGGCCTTTCTCCCGGCATCGCTGGGCCCTTCCCTCATTTTTGTGCAGGTTCCCCTCACCCTAAAAGGCCTCTCTGAAGGCTGTCAGTCTGGCAGGAAAGCTCTGAGCTAAAACAGGCTGGTTCTTGCAGCCTTGCCCCAAACCTCGTGGGCCTCCCTTTGCTTGAATGTGGCCCTCAAGCATGGCTCCGAAATGCAGTTTGGGCCCTTGGACTGAAATGAGCCTACACGTCCATCTCAGGCAGTGTCCCAAAACATTTTGTGATCTCGACCCCACTTCTAAACTCTCCCTGCCTTCTGGCACCATGAGCCCAGGACCAAATTGTTCTGTGGTTTTAAGTTGGCTGACCACAGATCCAAACATTAGTTGAACCAATTAGTTCAGTTAGTGGGAGCCTGTGCAACTCTGAGAGGCCTGGAGTTGGTCACCCTTAGCTACACCATTCTCTCACCAACACTTTCCAACAGCAACAAGGAAAGTTCCAGGTAGTTCCAGTCCAGATAATGTGCTGCTCAGCACTCCCCAAAACAACTGCAGAGCACCTTGAGATGCCATGTCTGAGATTTTTTTTCCTGAGCGCACACAGTTTCTTTATAAATCCAGACTGAATGGGTGTAGCAGTCGGCAATGAAAAAGGAGCACAAACCAGGTGGGGTCTGCCCCATCCCATGACAAAGGCCGCTCAGCCTGGCAAGGAAGGGGAGGCATGGCGGAGGTGTCACACCTGGAGTGGTCAAAGTGGAGAGGGAGGGAGTTTGTTCTCATGACACCTGAACCCAGGGTCGTCCCATGACGCTGACTGGCGGGAGGCTCAGGACAGATAAAAGGAAGCCCTTCGCCCACCGGGTCGTAAAACTATGGCGTTTGCTGCCACCGGAGGTGGTGGTGGCTTTTAACTGCGGGGGCTTTAAAAGGGGCCGGGCAGATTCACAAGGGAGGAGGCTATCCGTGGCTACTAGCCGGGCTGGCTGTGGGCAACCTCCTTGCCAGGAGTGGCAGGCCTGTGCACACCAGTTGCTGAGGAGCTTGGGCAGGTGACGGTCATGCGCCCATCCTGCCGGAGGGGTTCTCTGGGCAGCTGGTTTGTCACTGTGTGCTGGACTAGAAGGGCCCTTGGTCTGATCTGGCATGACTTTTCACATGTTATCCATCCCTACCTCCAGGCTGGCATGTGACAAAGGGCCATTAAATGGAAGAAGTCGCTAAAGAAATATTCTTTCTTTTCCCTCTACAAGCCTCCCCCTTTTGGGCAATGAACCAAGCTTCACAATAGTCAGAGTATGTTTCTGGCACACTGGCGGTGCCCTCTTATCAGCTCTAGACAGAGCTAAGGTAAAAAGCTGGATTCCTTACCTGCTTGATGAATCTTTTAGCTGCCCTTGATTTCCGTATGATTCCTGGTTATAAGAGCTCTGGTTCTGGTTTTCAAAGCCACTGTACCCTTGTAGGCCAGTCTGCCCATAACCTGAAGAGGCAACAGGGAGAACGTCAGAGGGAAGCAGTGGCCCTGGAACAGTGCGTGCATGCAGAAATGTCGGCCTGAGGAGTCAAACCTGTCTGGGGCTGTCCGTAGTTCCCTTGATAGTTCCCATAACCTTGACTGTAAGAGGAGCTCTCTCTGCTCTGCTCATAGCTGGGATAGCCCTGCAAAGCAAAGCAAAGCAGAGGGAAGGATGTGGGAATCTGGGACAGAGCAACCCCAATCGGAGAGCCTGCGTGGCGGCTGGTGGTGGCCTTTGGCCAGGAAAGCCTGGGCAGGAATCTTCACTCAGTCACAAGGCTTGCTGGAGTGGCTTTGTACAAGTGGCCGTCCTTCGTCCTAGCCTACCTTAACGGGCTGTTGTGAGGATTAAGAAGAGTGCTCACAGTGTGCCTCTTCCCCTGTGGTACTACCTGCCACTTGTTTGTTTCACTGCATTATCAAGATGGAAGCCTCCTTTCAGCAAAAGGCAGCACAGGAATACTGATCTGCGTGCTACCTTGAGCTCGCTGGGAAAAGAAGGGATGCCCATGGGATTAATCATACATACAGAACGTCAGTTCGGTCCAAGAGGCCTGAACAGGGCAGGCCACATGCGAATTCTGCTCTTGCAGTCCAAGGCAGCACTTGCAGCCTTGGCAGCACTTCAGGTGCTCAACATCACCTGCCTACCTATAGATCGTCCTACTTGGATTGGACTTAAAAAGGCACAGAGCAGGAGAACCAGCAGCTTCCACTCTGGCTACTTCTCCAAAGGTTTCCCATCAGATCAGTTAAAGAGAGCATTAAAAATAAAAATCCGCTGGGACAGGCAGGCGCTGTTAGCACCGTGTCAAGGATTCAAGAGCTCAGGTATCTGCCCATGAACGCAAAAGCCACGGGCCTGCTCTGCAGTGCTGCATTTCAATACAGACTAGTCCCCAGACTAGTCCCCTCCCATCCTTCTTTCCAGAGAGCTCATCCAAATGCCAGCTGTCCCTCTGTTTCTCCCAGGCGGATCTACGGAGGTGTGCACTGTGCACACAGTGTGTCCAGGCAGAACAGTGGCCTCTTTGCCCGTAAAGGAAATGTGGCCCAGTGACTGGAAAGCAGCAGCAGCAGCTTCGTGGGATGCCATTCAGCCTACCTGCGAGGCTTGTCCATAGCTTTGATTTCCTTGATTGCCGTAGCCTGCGTAGCTGGAAGACAAGTTGAGGAGGTTTCAAACAAGTGCTCCATCCTCGCAGCACATAATTGGGGTACAACAAATGACCAATTTTCATTGGGCATCTCTTTGCTTCTTTCAGGTTAAGCCAACAAGTCTCAAAAACACAATTATAACATATTGCATGGTTCATACCTTATATGGAAAACCCTGAATTTTCCTCCAAAGGCCTGAGATCCAATGTGATTATTACTTTCAGGCATACATACCTTTGCTGTTGATCCCCAGAATGGCCGAAACTTCCAGAATCTTAAAAACAAATAAACAAACATAAACAAACTCAAATGAGTCCCATATCTGAGAATATAGAAACACAGAATACAGAATCATAGTGAATCTGAATGGGCCTCCAGGGCCATCTAGTCTGATCTGCCCAAGCCAGCTCTGCCAGTGTAATACCCAACGTATGGGTGTCTCATCTTTCCTTGAACACCCTCACCAATAGGGCCTCCACCACCTCCAGAGGAAGCCCATTCCACACCCTCGGGGTCCTGACCTAAGTACTTCCTGAAACCTGGTCCCTTGAGCTTTACCCCACTGGACCGTGTCCTTTCCTCCACTGCAGGAGAGAACAGGTCACAACCCTCTGCCATGCGATACCCCTTCACAGCCCTTTATGTCGCTAGAAGTTCCCCTCGGACTGTCCTCTTCTCCAGGCTGAAAAGACCCAGTTCCCCCAATCCCTCCTCATAGGGCATCCCCCCCAGTCCAGCTACCATCCTTCTGATCCTGCACCGAACTGATTCCAACCTTGCTATGTCCCCCTTTTAATGCGGAGCCCAGAACTGGACACAGTACTCCAGCTGTGGGCACACCAAGGTGGTATCAACACTGATTCCACACCTAAAAATTACAATTCAGCGGCAATTTAAGATGAAGTTCTCAAAAATCACTCAGGGCTGGCTCAGCCTCTTAGGAAACTTGCTATTCGGAGGAGTCCCGAGAGATATTCACAGAGGTGTGCTGAGTTTCATCGCTTTCATCATGTTCTGAAGAGCAGATATTCTTAAACCAAGCCATGGTCAACTGTTCGAACTGCAAAAAGCTTTCATCCAAGGGGAGAGAAAGGGGCCCTCTGGCTCAGAGCGCAACTGGAGGGAGCCTCCAGATGACCAGGCTGGCTGATATGAACAGAAGTGGAACGGGGCACCTAAGGCTAAGCAGGTGAGGTCTGGCTGAAGCTGGACAGGGAAAAATCTGGGAGGGATGCCTAGTTCATGGTCCAACCCAGCTGGAAAAGCCTGACTGGACTATTGTCAGTCTCATCAGGTAACACCTTCATTCCAGCAACTTGGAATCTGTACCTTTAGGAACTCCGCAGAATGCAGAAATCCAGCAGGAGAAGCTCGTATCATATCGACAAGGTTTCAATTTATTCTCCAACATTGCTGAATCCTGACCTCCTGAGCCAACAACCATCGAAACTGCCCAGGGGGCTGGTGCCCTGGCCCAAGGCTCAGACTGTAATAGTCACAGAAATGTGCTGAAAGGAGGGATGTGGCTGAAGAGGCTTTAGGGTCTCCACAGTGGGAGTGTTTTTCGCAGCGCAGGGCTGCTGTGCTGAAGCTGTTATGAGGTTTGGTGGTTACGATGACTGGCACCAAGAAACCGAGGCTTGGCCCAGCAATGCCCAGCTCCCCTGTGGTAGTAAGGACAGAGAGGCAACAGCGGTTCATACTGCATGGATGATTACAGGATATGAACAGAGATGCAAAAGCCCAGTTGGGAAGAGCTCACAGTGGAAATCAGAAAGCTGCCGAGAAGGTCATCCTCCCTTTATGAAAAACCAACGGTGATCTTATGGATTCCAGCAGAGTTCCTCATTGGCTACTAAACATCGGGGTGAGTGGGGGCAGGGACATTTTTAACTTTAATTCTTATTTACACTGTATTATCAACTTATGAGGCACATTACAAAGTTTCTAATAGGTGGGAAAAGAGAGTTTCTCATCCACTAGCCTATAGTCTGGGAGAGACAGAAATGCCTTGTTTTGTTTCTATATAAAGCATAGCTATGGTTGTGACCAGATACTGAAGATGAAACTCAAATGCTTTGGCCAGGAAGGACTCCCTGGAGAAGAGCCTAATGCTGGGAACAATTGAGGGCAAAAGGGGACGGCAGAGGATGAGGTGGCTGGATGGGGTCACTGGGGCGGTGGGTGTGAGTGGACTCCGGGGGATGGTGGAGGACAGGAAGGCCTGGAGGAATGTTGTCCATGGAGTTGCGATGGGTTGGGCACGACTTTGCGACTAAACAATGGTTGTGACAGAGGTATAAAACAATATTAAAAATCTAATGGCTAGGATCTTGCTCCGAAATGGTCAACCTAGCCCTCTCTTCTCCACCTGGTACCGATCCCCATCCAAGCCTCTGTCACAGGAAGCGACCAAACCCACCACATCATGTCTTAGTGCATCACAGCTACCATTTGCATTGCATTTTTAGCAGCATATTAAGTGCCACACAAATTTTGGACAACAAACACTTTGACACCAGCACTAGGTCATGCTGATACGAGTGACTTGTGTGGTACTGCTGACTGCATGTGCAGTTGGGGGCGATTTGAGGGGAAAATGCCATGCACACTAATGTAATTTCAGCCAGAAGTAGCCGTACGCTGCCCTGCTCCCGTCTGAATAAACACAGGGTTGCACCAAGTGGCAGATGGCTACGCCACTGAATCTGCAGCTGGGTTCAGATAACTTGATAACCCACATTCACGGACTGCACATGCATCAAAATTGAGCCATGGGTTGCTGTTGAAATGCAGGTTGTTGCACTGTCTGAACCCAGCTGAGATAACAAACTGTGGTAAACCATGCAGTTTGCAATCCAGTTCACAACAAATCATGGGTTCTTTTCCCTGCTTGTTAACAAAGCACGGTTTGTTGTCTCAGTTGTGTTCAGACACAACGATCAACTCTATTTCGCCAATAACCCACAATTCAACAACAACCAGCGGCTCAACTAGTTATTCATTTAAAACACTTATAGACCATTCGGTTAGCATAATGCTTTCAAAATGGTTTATACCACCATTTTAAGTTGTCTGAATCCAGTCAGTGCCTTAGTGCAGAGTGCAGTCTCCAGCTTTCTGTCCACCTGCTTCTCTTTCTGCAGAACAAACAGGGCCCCCTTTAAGGTCAGGAGAGTACATAAATGTTTCTGTGAACGCAACGAATAGCACGGGAGGAGCGCCTCAAAGTGCCGGGGAAGGCCAGCATTCCAAGGCAGGTGCAGGGCCAGTGCCGAATTACCTGCTCAGACAACAGTAACAGGCAAAGTTCAGCACACTCACCCATGGGGCCGACTGGAGCTGTCGAGGTGGAAGAAGCACATGGCAAGGCAAGTTCAGCTACGGGGCAAAAGTTCAAAATCCTTGACAATCACTGACCATTTTTTTAAAAAATCCTCCATTAAGGCTGTCAGCGACGGGAGACGGACGACTATCACGGTGGACTGGTGCTTGTGCGGAGAGGGATTTCAGGCAGGGTGAATGAGACACGCCGTGCTGACCCCTATAAATACCGCCTCTGCTACGGCATTTGCAATGTCTTACTAGTGCTGCCCACAACGTGCAGCTCAAGTGCTTACGCCCGGGAGCAGAACCCCTCCCCAGGGTGCCTGCATGCGGCAGGCGCCTGCGCTGGGCTTCCAAACCAACTGCCCCCTTCAGCAGCAAGAGACCCACCTCCATCTCAAGTGCCCACTGCAGAAGGGCCCTTGCAGAGTCAGCTGGAAAGGCCACACACCAAAGCCGGGAGGCTGGAGGGAGGGTGCAGGTGGAGCCGAACCTGTGTCCCGCCACTGTGGGATTTGCCCCACAGGACCACCTGTCGTCCCGCATCCCGCGGGAAGGATTCAAGGAGGAAGAAGGAAGGAGATGAACAGGGCAGACACCAAGCACTCACCCTGTCCTGGTTCCATTCTCCTGACCCTCAAGGGAACCAACTGCACTATCAGAAGGACTCCATTTACTTTTTTCACATTTGTTGCCATTGGAAACAGAAACAGAGCGAGTCGGAAGGGGTCTCCTGGGCCATCTAGTCTGACCCCCGGCTCCAGCCGGCTCCACTCATGACATGCCCACCATGTGCATGTCCAGCCTATCTCTGAACACCCTCACCGATGGGGCCTCAGCCACCTCCCGTGGAAGCCCATTCCACACCCTCGGGGTCCTAACCGTCAGGAAGTGCTTCCTGGCACCCAAATTGGACCTTGGTTCCCTGAGCTTGGCTCCTTTGGAGCGTGTCCTGCCTTCCTCTGCAGGAGAGCACAGGTCATTGTTCAGCATGATTTTGCTGTGCCTACATTACGCACAAACCACCACTAAAGGATTTGCATCCTGACAGGCGGCACACACAGCACTGCAACGCAAAAAACACAAGGTTGATGCAGCGGCCTTGGAAGTACCATGTAGAAAGTGCTTTGCCCATTTTGGAAGCATTAGAGATGCGTCGCCATCATGACTGCAGCAATGCTGCTATAAAAAGAAAAGGGATGTGAAGTGCCTTGGATTGTAGAAGTGCTACATAAACATTTCATGATGTGACACCTTCTACAGCATTAGTCTCTTCCCATTTATTTTACTGTTGTGAGAAACCACAGCAACGTTCTTGCCAAAAGATGGTATGCACATTTAGGATGAGATTTATGGCGGGGGGCACCATCCACATTCTTGGACTCCCATTTCCCTCAGCCAGCCTGATCAATGCCTGGGGGCTGTGGGACTTGTAGTCTAAGCACATCTGGAAGGCCGAGTCACCTTATCCCTGATTTATGGAATTCGCTTCCAGCAAACTACAGTGGCTTTAAAGGTGGACAGAGCAAATTCATGGAGGAGAAGAGGCCCACCAAAGACTGACAGCCCTGGCAGCAAAACAAAACCTCTGCATTCAAAATGCCCAAGGATGGGGCAAAGAACAGTTCTTGCCACCGTGCCCTCGTTGAGGAACAACACAATCACGCCCGTTGGCCTTCCACACCCCGCAGCTGCCCAGTAACTCTGGGGAGAACCAGGGTGGAGCCTGCTTTGCCTGTTTACTCAGGCATCCTACTCTGTTCAACGAGGCAGTGAGTGTGAGGCTGCAGCAGCTCAAGGTACGACTGAAGGCAGAGAGGGCCCAGTGGCTATCCACCACAAACACTGAGTAGAATCTCCATGCACAGAAGCTCTGCTTCTCGGAATAGCCCATGCTGCATGCACACATCAGAGAAGGCCCGCTGCCTCTCAGCCTTGCTTGCTATTTTTCTTCTAGAAACACCAACCTGTCGCCCTGGAGGACGGAATGCTGGGCTACAGTAATACTGGGTGCTTCTAGATCAGGTGTCCAGCCCTCATCATGCTGCATTGGTAACCCTGTGCATTCTCCCATCACTTCTCATATTTTTTCCTACTGCAGAAAATCCAGTAAGGAGGGAAAGATGGAAGAAGCACACAGCCTATAAGTGGCAACACTAAGTGCTACCCGCTTGGAAGCACCTTCTCTGTTTGAACCAGCACAGCTGCTCTTAAGCACATATTTATTATATTACCTTCACATTTATATCCTGCATTTCCATTAAAAAGCCCATGCTGCCAGACGGGACCATCACTTCTTAAAGTAAGCCTGTGAGATAGGTTAGCACTGGAGGGTGTGCGTGTGCATGCATGCATATGCATGTAAGCATAACCGATGCAAGATCACCCAGGGAGCTTCCATACAAGAAATAAGGCAGGATACTAATACCATAAATAAATGAGGGGAAATGTGGACATCAGTTTTCATAGTACAGCCCTAGCCATACTGGCTAGACAGTTACTATTGTTGTTATTATTGTTTTCCAGAAGCATCTGATTGGCCATTGTGAGAAACAGGATCCTCAATGATATGGGCCTCCAGTTTGCTCCACAAAGGTCCTTCTGATGGTCTTAGGGTTAAGGATGACAGTCATATCCTATTCACCAGCTTGACTTCCCCATTCCTGGGGTAAAATGGCTAACTGGGGAATAGTAAGGCAGACCTGCCTAAATAAATAAATGTTAGTATTTATAGTAGTGTTCTGGATTACCATGTTAAATGAGATTTCAATGGTGGCTTTAAGTTGTTTTACACTGAATATTGAAAGCAAGGTGTAAGAGGAGCTTTAAAGGAACGAAATCATTAATGGTGCAAATGGTATAACATCCTAGTGGCTAAGGAATTTACTGTAGTTTATACTTTCATGGATGCCATCCACCTAGCAAGATAAGAATACCAGAAGCAGCTCAGTATTGCCAACACGGACTGGCAGGAATTGCTCCCCATGATTTCAGGCAAGGGCTTTCCTAGCTCTGCTGGAAGATACTGGGCATGGAACTTGAGCCCTTCTGCATGCAAAACATCTAAAAGAGTGTCTCCTTCCATACACACCTTCCTAGACCCTTAGATCACCTACAGAGCTCCTTCTCCATGAGCCACCCCTGAAGGAATAAAGAGTATATCTATGAGGGGAAGAGCCTTCTCAGCAGAATCTTTAAATAGTTTTGGCACATGCAGAATATTGTTTTGTTCATTGTTTGATTATATGCCTGTCAAATTTTACTGTCCAGCAAATATTTTATGACAGGCAAGTCTGTTTTACATCTGTTTTAAAGTGATTTTATTTGGCATATTTTAATTATATTCATTCTGAGAGTGCTGTGCTAATTGAACAGTCCAGAAATGTCTCAAACAAAAAAAGCATGGGCTGTCCCCTATAGTGAGTCCCCATGGTTGTGATTAAAGGACTGGAACAGAAACATTGGATGTCCTCTTTCCCTGAGTCAGTCCCTAAGCCGTTCTAACATAGCACTGCAAACACGGACTGGCAGCAACAGCTCTCCAAGGGCTCCAAGCAGGATTCTTTCCTCACTCTAAATGGAGGGGCTGAGGTTCGTTCATGGGCCCTGCACGCGCAAAGCTGAGCTGGGCCTCCATCTCGAGCTACGGCTCCTCCTATGTCATCAACGCCCACCGGAGCTTGCACCAAAACAAATGCGTTGCATCCTGAAGCTGCCGCAAAAAAATCCCTCTGCAAAATGAAATAACTCCAAAATAAATCTTTCCCTCGGGTAACTGTGAATTCACTGGGGCGTTCCAGACTGAAAACAAACACCTCTCCCGAAAAGAGGAGGACAGCGTCGCCCACAAGGCTAAAGCCCCGCCCACGTGGTAGAGTCCTGGCCAGAGGGCGCTTGAGCTTGCGGGTGGAGTCAGCCGTGGTGAAGCGAGGGCGCAGGCGCAGCCCGACCCAAGATGGCGGCGGCCTGTCCCGCTGGGCTCCCTCAGGCCACGCCCCCTCCCGCCTCCCTTCCACCCCTCGAGTGACAGGACTCGCGTTTCGTCAGGCGGCCAGCGAGGGACGGGGAGAACCTACCCGACGCCATCCTGGTCGCCAACGGGCAAGCAGGCGGAGTGGGGAAGCGACGGGGCCCGCAGGCGGCCCGCTCCGACTGCCGCTTCCCTCGCAGGCAAGCGGACTGACTGTGGCGCAACGTCGACGCCGACTGCAGGACGGCGCAGCCAATCAGAGCAGGCGGGCTCTACCAACCGAACAGCGTGCACAAGGTGCGGGGGGGAAGAGAAAGAAAAAGACGAAAAGGCGTGGAACGTACCAATTGGAGAGTTGGGCGGGGAGATGAGAACGAAGGTAATGCTTGCCGGAGGAGGGGTTGTTTACTCCTGTAGTCCAAAGTGCACTGTAGGCGAGGGAAGGAAATGGCGTGAGTGGAGCATACTGTTACGGTCCCAGCCATAAATCGGGTTTTGGGACTGTTTATTTTCAAAGCATGCGGAGTAATTGCGGCAATTAATTCCTGGCGCTTACATCGCAACTTTCAACCAAGGAGGTAAAGGCAGGGTGCACGTGGTCTTTCCCTCACCTCTTTTTTATTCTCACAACAATCCTGTGAGGCTGGACTGAGAAACAGCGGCTGGCCTGAGCCACTCAGTATGAGATTCATGGCCATGTAAGGGTATGACTCTGGATCTACACAATCTTACACATCACACTAGTCCTCATTGACTTGTGGAGAGGGGAAATGAGTATTACTGGACAGGGAATAGTGGGTAGGTCATCATCATTTTAACAGGAGAGCCAGTGTGGCATAATGGCTACAGCACTGGATTGGGGTTTGGGAGATCTGGGTTCTAGTTCTCAATTTGTCATGCAGCTCACGGTCTGATATTGGGCCAGACACTGAGTTTAACCTACCTCACAGAGTTGTTGTGAAGACAGAAGAGGAGAAGGAAGTAAGATTTTGTAAGTTACCTTGCGTTCCTTGGATGAGGAAAAGCAGTAGGATATAATAAATACAACTTTTATTGAGTCTTGCTCTTTATGTATGTTTATTATATTTACATCCCACCTTTTTTTCCTCTGAAAAGGCACCCAAGATAGCTGATGCAGTAATTTTATTATTATCCGCTACATTTATATTCTACTTTCTCTCCAGATAGCCCAAGATGGGCTTACACAAGCCTTGTCCTCTCCATTTATCCTCACAACAGCCCTGTGAGGTAGGTGAGACTGGCAGTCAGTGACTGGCACAGAGCCACTCAGAGAGTGGAAATTAGAAACCAGACCTCCCAAGTCCCAACGTATCAAAGCACAATTTTACTTATGCCTTCCCAAGATCAAGGCCCCTCTGAGCTTGGGTAAATGGATTTTGGTTTGCGGCCTTAATGAACACAGTCAAATCAGAAATCTTCAGAAAGGAGAGCAAAAAGAAGGCAAGCTCCAACAAGGGATGAAATTGTCAGCTGGGCTGTAGGCATCTAATTCGTAGGCATTGTTTTTTATTACTACTTTTGGAAGCAGGAGACTGCTCTGTAGATCAGCGGACCCAAGGGGCGCAAGACACAACCACCTTTGCGGGTTTGGACACACCGAGGTGGAGGATGCAACACTGCGACCGGAAGATGTTGTAAGCCGCCCCGAGGCCTCGGCAAGGGGCGGCATAGAAATGTTTTAATTAATTAGTTAGTTAGTTAGTTAGTTAGTTAGTTAGTTAGTTAGTTAGAAAGAAAGAAAGAAAGAAAGAAAGAAAGAAAGAAAGAAAGAAAGAAAGACGTTTTTCCCTACCGATGTGCGCAGGGTGGCTTATCCCAGGTGGCTTTCATGCCACCGAAAGGGTGTAGCAACAAAAGCAGGAGGGAACATGTCTGTCTGGAGGATGTTTGACATGCACAGGCAGCGGTGTGCAGCGTGCGTTGTGCTCCTCCTTTCCTTGCACGGGTTGCACTGGCCCTGCCTGCTTCCCTTGTCCAAGGTTCCCCGCCTACAACGTTGCACTTCGCATCAAATTCAAGTGCGATTGTGCCCAGTCCTGGCCCAAACACAGATGCTGTAAAATAGTGGAAAGAGCGGAAAAGAGCGCCGGGTTCGAGTCCTCGCTCAGCCATGGAGCCCACTGGGTGACTTCGGGCAGGGCACCAGCTCTCAGCCTGACCTACCTCACAGGGTTGTTGTTGTGGGGATAAGCTTGAAAGCAGCAGGAAGAGCATTGTGTGTGCCGCCTTAAGTTCCTTGGAAGGGAAAAAGGCGGATGTAAATCTAAGAAATAAAGACAGAACAAGCCACCGCTGGCGGGGCGGCGGTAATGGCGGAAGTAGGCCGCGAGCCTCTGTTGCCAGGCAACGCGGGTGGGCGGGGGAGAAGGGGCGCGGTCTTTCCCGCCTTTCGCTCAGGCGGCGGCGGCGGCGGAAGCGTAGCGGGCAAAGAAGGAAGTGCGTCAGAATCCGGAAGTGCGGCGGATGCTGGAGAAAGAGGAGGATGGAGCGGTTGCCCGTGGCGACCCTCCTCGTGGCGCTGATTTCGCTCCTCGTCTCCGCGCCGTGCCTGCTCCCGCCGCGGCTCTCGCTGGGCGCGCAAGGAGACCAGCCGGGCGACTCCCCGTCGGCTTTCTCGCTGCGGCCCGAGGCGGTGCGGGAGGGACAGGGTGAGCGTGAGGGCCCCCTGCTCCTTCTTGTTCTGTCTCTCTGGGGATGCTGGGAGTTGTAGTCCGGGGGGCTAGGAGCGGAAGGTCCCTCCCCCTCCCTGCGCCGGGGCTCAGCTGGCGTGTTTCTAGCAATCGCACGCCTTCCAGCAACTCCCAGTTTCTCCTAAGCAGCCCTCCAGTTCATCTGCAGGACACCCGGTGGGGGAACTGGGGAGCCAGGAGATGCGGCTGAAGCTCGCTGGTTGACTCTGGGCCGCTCATGAGTTGCTGCGAAGGAGGAGTGGACGAGAGCTGTCTTGGGTTCTTTCTAAGGGAGGAAAGGTGGGACATACATGCGGTATAATTATCCTAATAGTAGTTTACAGCATGTTGTTGTTGTGATGTGCCATCAAGTCATCTCCGACTTAGAGCAACCCAAAATGTCCTGTCCATGGCAGGACATATTTAATAATAACCAGAACAGGCTCACAACATCAAAGGGAAAGGGGATGTGAAAGGGTAGAAACATCGCTTAAGTGCCATAGTTTGGATTCAGAGTACTTAGAAGTGTTCTTTCTAGTGGGGTTAAACAAGCTTGCTCCACTTTCTTTGCTGGCTAGGGCCACACTGATCCTTCCCTTGTTGTGATGTTTGGCCTTGGGCAGGGGATGCAGTCTCTCATGGCCTCTGGCTCACAGGTGAGGTAAGAGTCTGCAGCCATAGGGAGCTCCCTATTAGGGGAAATCACAGGGGTGTTCTCCCTCCCTTGTATAATAGCCTGTCCCAAAGCTACCCTCATTTCAGAGCAGTTTCCCCCAAATCCCTTAACTCCTCCCTCTGGTGTGTCTCTTGGTCTGGGCCAAGAGCTGAGGGGTTTCATTTTAGCCCTCTGGGGTTCCCCAGAAGACCATGCTCCATCCCCCTGGCCTTACCCCCTTTTGCCCAACCCCAATCTTTTGTCAGGTTTCATGGCTTTGGGCCAAGTTATCCCCCCCCCCACACACACACACACTCTCTGAAAAGTTGGAATTATGCAGGCCTAGACTTTTAGTTCCTTGACTTTGCCCTTGCACTGGAAGGCAGCCGCTCCCCAAAGCTCTAGACATAATTTCAGCCTTCAGTTTTCCCCACTGCTGCGCTGGGTTAACAGTATCTTCTCCACAGAATGTAGGGTACTGGGTTGGTTGCAGTGTTTGGCCATTCCCTTGGGCAGCTCCATCTCCAAAATGGCTTTCCCCCCTTTTCCCTCAGTTTATAGGCTGGTGAGCTACATCTTTGTGTATGGAAATGTCATCTCCTTGGTATGCGGTGCTGTGGTCATTTGGTACTTCTCCAGCAACTTTGAGAAGACGGTGGGCACAGCGAAGCACTGCCTCCTCATGCTCGCCTTCGCCATTTCCTTGGCTCTGCTCTACCTCTTGCTACGGGCTGCCTTGGCCGGGCTGCTCGACGTGGCAGATGCCGAAGGGTTCACACCTGTCGCTTTCGCCATGCTGGGCACCTCGATCGCCCGCTCACGGATGCGGAGGACACTGCTTTTGGGGGTCAATCTCCGCATGGCGCTCGTGCCGTGGTTTCTGCTTGGCATGGCCTGGTTCATTCCAAGCTCCTCACTCTTGGGAAATGTCTGTGGCCTCCTGGTTGGGAACATTTGTATCCTTTTGAATACCCCACCCCCCAATGCTGACCCAGTGGATTGTGAAGTCCAAACCTCATTTCTCTGTGTAGTCCCTGTAGCTGTTGCAAAGCAACCTGGGTTAACAATTTTATGTTAAAACGTAGGATGTATAATAGAGCATTTTGGGCCTTGCAACTTGCTTGGAGGTTGTAAAATAGTATTATGCCTTTAACCAGGTTGCCAGAAAGAAAACTCGCCGGACTAGAGGTGGGCTAGGAAATATCTCCCGGGGCACCTCTGAGAGGATCCACTCCTCATGTTGGTTACCTTCCCACTTTCCCCTTGAAACAGCAGCACCATCACTCTCAATGCAGCCCAGAACTGACTGGACCAGAGCAAGGGGCATAATGCTGGTGTTTTTGGCCAGTCGGCATCTTCTCAGCTTCAGAGCCCACCTATTGAGGTTCCTGGCCATTTTTCCAAGACATCATAAGCGACTGGCCCTGGGAAATCTGGCCCTCAAGCCTCTTCCTTCCCACCCATAGCCATCCTTGACCTCCGTAGTTCTCCTTGACCTCCCTCCAAACTCAAAGATGGTTATGGCTACTGCTCTGGCGTGGATCTCACTGAATTGACAGTCTCTCGCCTGGATCAAAAGCTCCCTTTCCGGTTATGGAAGAGAATTCCAGGCCTGAAGTACATTCCTGCATCTCTGGCTGAAAGGAGGGCTTCTCAGACCAGGAAGTGAGTGCACAAGATCACACTCGTACCTATTTAGATTAGCCTTCCCTGACTTAGTGTCCTCTGCATGTGTTGAACTACAGTACTCGCCATCCCCTCCCAGCCTGGCCTCTGGCAGGCATCACCTGAAGCTTTAATGCTGGTGGCCCCATTCAGCCAGTGCTCGGAATGGAGGCGGCCTGTCCCTGGTGAAGGGCCTTGATAAGAAGCTGGTGTGCAGAAGGTGATGCGCCAAGGAGCTGGCTGGCTACACCTTCTCACTGGTTCCAGCCCCTCCGCTGCAGTCTTGCTTTACCTTTTCTTTTCTCTACCTTTTTCCCTACCTTTTGACTAGCCCAGTACTGGCAGCATGATGATTCATGCGTTCCCTCGGGGAAGTCTGGCCTTCGGCGTCACCCTGGAGCTGGGGGGCAGTGCGAGAGCTTCCCAAAGCCCTTCAGAAGTTCTGGGTGACAACCTTTCGCTGTGCAGCAGGCATCAGCTCAGGAAAGTTTGAGGCAGCAGTTGAAGACCTGCCTTTTCACTCCAGCCTTCCCATACTGGTTCTGCCACCCAGTTCATTGATTTTAAAGGCTTTTATCAACAGTGTTTCTTCTAAAAATGCTTTTAACAGATGCTCTGTCCTTCGCTTTTAAATGTGGGTAAGCTTTTATGTGTAAACCGCCTCAGGATAGCTTTACAGATATAGTGAGGCAGTCTGCACATTGGTTAAATGAAGGCACACGCCTGCAGGTTCAGACAGGGAATGGTCTGTGTTGCGGGGAACTGCAGGCCTTCCATCTGTCTAAACCTGCCTAGGATTGCGCTCTAAATGGCCAAGCCTTGGAAAACTCCTGGTCCTTGGCCACGCTGGCTGGAGCTGCTGGGAGTGTGTGCCTCAAATGCGTTGAGATCCATGGTCGCCCACCGTTTGCCATACGGACAGGTGCTGTGCCGTCAGAGTCGAATGGTACCAGTTGCCGGGGTGGGTCCTTTTCTGTCCACCTGCTCCTGTCTGGAGAAACATGTTTCCTCTCTTCTTTTTCAGGCTGAATCCTGTGCCGGGTTCCTACCCCACCCAGAGCTATCTCAGTTCCCCTCCGCTTGCCCCCCTGCTTGTTCCTGCACAGCCCCCCGGGGTGCACAGCTCAGCACCTCCGCTGGCGTGCACAGCAGCTCCTGCACTGCACCATGGGCCTGGCGCCCCCGGAGAGTCCTGGCCCCAGAACCATCTCCGGGCTCCCTCAGAGCCCTCCCCAGCTTCTCTGCCTCTCAGTGGGCCTGACGGGTGGACACCGAGGCAGGCCGATGGAGCCGGCATCCATCAAGCACCTGGATTTCGAGCTGCGGGGGCGGCCTCGGGAGCTGCCGAGTTTTGTCGGGTTCATGTCGGCTGACTGCGGTGGGCCGCTACAAGTCCTGGTCAATGCTGGGGGCTGGTGCGGGGGCCGTGGAGGTGTCCCCTCTGAGATGGGAGCCCCCACCAGGCGGGCAAAGATGTCTTAAAATGGTTGGGCAGCTGGATCTCCGCACACGGAGGGCGCTCTCTGTCTCCCGTGCCCTGTGACTCTACCCCTGCGCATCAGATTTGGGCAACCTGCAGTGCGCCCAGGGGGTGCCGCAAGCCCGTGGCGCCATCCCCTTGCCAAAGCCAGGCCGGAGCGGTTGTGGGCCGCCTGATGGGGGCCATCCCCTGCTGGGCTGTGCTGGCTCGGAGGGATTGGGCCCTTCACGTTTACCTGTGCCTCTTTCTCTGGGTGGTGTGCCCCAAGTCTTTGCAATGGGGAGCGGGGGACAGAGCAGGCTCTTCTCAGAGTCACCTGCCCTCCCGTGCGGCGTGGAAGTCTCGCCAGTGCTGCATCCTCCACCCATCGGGGTGGAGCCCAAAACTCCAATCTGTTTCCTACCTCTGGGTTCTCTTACCCTCTGTGGAGTTCCTCCTACAGTCGTAATAAAAACAGTCTGCTTTGAGCTGCAGTTGGTACCTGTGCCAAGCCTGCGAGAGGGCCCTTGGGGTTTGCCCCGTCACCCTTTGGGGCGCCCGTTCTTGTTTGCTGCTGTGGCTGCAGCTCCTGGAGAGGTGGGTGCTTCTGCGTCCGGTGTCTCTGTTTTGACCCCTCCGCCTTGGATGGCCCTGCTGGGAGAGCAGCCCAAGGAGCCTCTTCTGGCCCCCTGGCAGCTCTGCTGCCTGCTGCTCTGACACCCGCAAACCCTCTTCGCACATAAGGGGTGCTTGTGTTAAAAGCTAGGTTAGTTCAAACCTGCCACACCGTGTTTCGCCGCTAGGGGCAGACCTCCCCTTAAAAACACACAACTTTGAAGACATGGGAGTCTGGGGCTGAGTTCGCCATTTCCCCCTCTGGAGAATAGTCTGTTCTTGGGGGTGGCGTAAGCCATGAGGACTAGTAGCCAAATTCTCCGTGAATTTGTCCTGTTCTCTGAAAGCCATGCAGATCGCTGGCCCTCAACCCTTTCCCCGGCAGGGGATTCCGTCATTTACGTAGCTCTGTGCTGAGCAAAGTTGTTTCTCTCTCAGCTCTCCATCCCACCTGCTTTGTGGGGTGACCCCAGCAGGGTCTAGTTTTAGGGGAGGGGAGCAAGCGCACCTTAGCCACACCCGCCACACCAGGCACCGGTTTGTGTGCCTCCATCATGTCTCCCCTTGCTTGCCTCTTCTGAGCCGAGCGGCCCCGGTGTCCTCGCTGGGAGTTTCTCCCGCTCTTGGTGGCCAAATCGAAAGCCCTCTTTGTAGCCCTGGGGAGCAGATGCCAGTCAGAATTGGCGACAGCATGTTGGATGATTTTTGCTCCAACCAGCTTCAGCTTCAGTCATGCTTGCATCTTCCAATATGGTATGGACCATGTAAATACAGCAAAGGTGTAAATGGAAATGTTTGGAAAGCAAAAGCTGCAGTAGTTGAGAATTCATGTTCCCGTTAATAACAGGCACATACCAGGGAAGGTACACAAATGAGGCATACTTTTGTGGTGTAAAGATACAGTTCTGCGTCCTCGGGTGTGCTAGTGTTTGGTTTTTTTTGGAGGGGCTTCTGCATACCCAGGGAATACCCAGGTATGCCAAAGTGTGCAGGTTCATGTAGGAAAGGGAATTGCAATTTTAACATGCTTGACAGGACTTAAAGGAGTGCCTCTCTCCACCATCCTCAAAATTGCCGCAGATCAGACCATATATGCAATTTTTGTTTTCATAACATTGAATTCTTTAGAGCCAGCTATGGAACCGGTGACTCGGGGAGTTTGCGGGCTCTCCCGCGTTCAGGATGCAGCTGGATGGGCATCTTGGTGGCAGGGTGTTTTGAACGCTTTAATGTTTTAAATTAAGTTACTTGTAAGGAGATTCGCTTGGCACCTTCCTTGTACTCCTTTTGGCACCAGGTGAAGACCTACCCCTTTAAAAGATACTTTAATATCTAATAGATGCCACTGTAACCTTGTATTAGTTTATTCAAATCTATTTATATTGGCTTTTATACATGTCAATGTGTAGTTGTTATTGTTTATGGTGAATTTTAATTATGTGATTGTTAGTTGCTTAGAGATGTCATTGGCGAAATAGTTGGCATATAAATGTTTTAAATTAAACTAAATTAAAATGGTGTACCCTGGGGTTCTGCACTAGCATGAGGTCAGGCCTGATGGCTTTCTGGCCCCTTCTGACTCGTCTGTGGTTCTGTGTTCCTCAAAATTAGCACAGGACTATGAAAATCATGGAATTTGGAGCAGATCTCTAAATGGGGACACTGTTCTGGTGGACCTTTGGAAAAAAAATAGTTGATTTCTCCAGGGCTGTATTATGAGAAGCCACAGCCCAGGGTCTTTATAGTGCAGTCTGAATTCTGTAGAGAGACTGTGTGTGTGTCGGGGGTGCAGACGTGCAACACTTTCTGGCAAGAGTTTCACCGCTGAGTGAAGAGGAAGCATTTTCCAGGTCACTAATGGAATTTATTGTGCAAGGCAGCCTGCTGGCTGGTGGAATATGGGAGTTGTAGTCCAATGCCTCCAGAGAACCCCAGGCAGGGGAAGGGTGCAAATGGGAATCTATTGCCTGAGATTTTTTAGAACAGATGCTGCTTTTAAACGCTGGCATCAAAGGAGGCTCTTGAGGCACCCTGAAAAGCACAGGCAGGTTTAGTAGGGTTTGAATCCCACACACGCCTCCTCTCTGCACGAACAACCAGACCATCAACCGCTTACGCAGCGCAGTGGGCCGATTCTCAAAGAGCTGTTGGGAAACGGAGACCGAATTTCCCTTGGGCAGCCCAGAGCAGCAGGTCTCCATTGCTGGCAGGGAAAAGGCCAGGCCTTCGGGTTCTCGGGTGCCTCTGCTGTACTGCATTGTTCCCCATCCTTTGCTCCAGTCCGTAGAGGCGTCTGCTGTACGAAATCGACCGCCTTCACTTTCCCAGCGCGTGCCGCACTCCATCTCGGTTTTGGGCCTCGCCTCCCAGAGGGAGGCCTGTGAGGGAGGCCAGAGGATGAGAACTCGCTCCTGCAGTTGCCCCCCATCCACAAACCTTTGGTGGTTTTCAGCCTCTGTCCATGGAGGACAGATAAACAGGTGGCCAGTTACTGATGGAGCCATTGTCCGCTCAAGTCAGTGATTCACCGAAGGCCCAAAGCGATCAGAACGCACGTCCCCCCGCATGCCACCCTCTGATCTGCTTAATTTTACAAAGACCGACTTTCCTGGTCGTCTGGCACTGGTCTTCACTCGCCAACGGTGGACAAGTGTCTGTTTACACGTCTGACTGTAAACGCGCAACTCCACGCAGCAGCAGTCCGGACAGTGCTGCACTTGGTGTGCACATTTCCAGCACTGCCCCCCCCCCCCGCATGATATGCCATGCTACTTTTCAGAGGAGAATGTGGGACTTGATCCAGAAGCGGAACCAGAAGTGTCACTCGGGAGGTGGGTGATCGGAGCTCATTTTGCCCTTCAACCTGCGTCACTTTTCTCCCGACAAAGGGATGAATCTGTCCAGGTAACTCTGCTCAAAACAATTCCAAAGAAAGAAGACCCGAAGTAGATATTGTCTTGCTGAGGGCAAGACATGGATCAAGGCAAACTTCTTGTACCTTTAAGTGAAGGTGATACTTCAAGATTGCACTTGCGAGCTTGCTTGGGCTGGCTGTTGGAAAAGCAGCATCGACTAACTGGGAGCCAAGATTCAAGGTGGACGCCAAGAAGTTCTTCCTGATGGGTAGGACTCCCAGAATCTGGAATGGGCTTCGACAGGATGTGGCTGAGGCCCCATGGGTGAGGGTGTTCAAGGACAGGCTGGACATGCACACAGTGGGCATGTGAGCGGAGCCGGCTGGAACGGGGTCAGACTAGATAGCCCGGGAGGCCCCTTCTGATTTACTCTTTTTCTTTGTTTCTGTGTTCCTCACTCCCTGATATTGGGAATTTGTTCAGCCTCATGTTTACACAGAGTAAGTCCGGAGAGCCTGGTGTTCACCTGCAGTCACCAATCGTTTGATGGTTTCTTGGCTTTTGCTGTTTTTTCTCCTGAAAGTTTGAGTATTCTAAGGTTGATTTACTGGCTAGAAGCAAGAGTGGTGCTAAGTACTGAGAAGATCCAGGATTTGGGTTCAGCAAATCACTCTTCATGCTTAGAGATGTTGAAGACACAGAAACATACTAAAAGAGCAAGCCAGAAGGGGTCTCCTGGGCCATCTAGTCTGACCCCCGGCTCCAGCTGGCTCCGCTCACGACATGCCCACCATGTGCATGTCCAGCCTATCCTTGAACACCCTCACCGGTGGGGTCTCAGCCACCTCCCGGGGAAGCCCATTCCACACCCTTGGGGTCCTGACTGTCGGGAAGTGCTTCCTGGCATCTAAATGGAACCTGGGATCCCTGAGCTTGGCTCCATAGCAGGGATTCTTTCATAGAAACATAGAAAACAGAGTGAGTCAGAAGGGGCCTCCCGGGCCATCCAGTCTGACCTCCGGCACCAGCCGGCTCCGCTCACGACATGCCCACCATGTGGACGTCCAGCCTATCCTTGAATACCCTCACCGATGGGGCCTCAGCCACCTCCCGTGGAAGCCCATTCCACACCCTCGGGGTCCCGACTGTCAGGAAGTACTTCCTGGCATCCAAATGGAACCTGGGTTCCCTGAGCTTTGCTCCGTTGGAGCACGTTCTGCCTTCCTCTGCAGGGGAGAACAGGTCTCTGCCCACCTCCGTGTGACACCCCCTCACATATCTGTATGTTGTCAACAGACATGCAATTAATAATTAAAGTTAATAATTCTTAATATCTGCAGTCTGTAAGCTGCCTTGATGAGTCATTTGATGGAAAGGTGAGTATAAATCTCCAAAGGGGTGGGTGGGTGTGTGTGTGTGAGAGAGAGAGAGAGCGCGCCCACAGCAGAAAACATCCAGTTACTTTTGCACATGCTTATTTTGACCTGCTATTCTGGCGTCATAACATCTGTCTCCAGGCTTATCTTGATGTAGGTTTATTTTGTGTTTTCCATGCTCTGATGTCTCTGAGCTTGGTCAGCTTCCAACAGCTTGAGCCCAAACTAGAAACTACTTCTGCAAAGCCTCCTTTTCATTACTGCTTGAATTTAGATTCGAGGATAAGCAGGAAAAGACAAAGTCACTCGCACATAAGGTCAGAGACAGTTCATTGAATGCTGTAGCGGAATATGCATTCGGATGATATGAAATAGGCAGAAAAGCTTGTAGATGCTGCTCCAGGCTGCTGGTTGCTTGGACACGTACCTGCTCCTTTTCCCAAGCAAAGGCAGAGTGCAAAGGTATGGATTCTACGGAGTCTCTCCCCTGTTTCAGAGGCTCTCACTAAGCTACATCTCTCTTTCTAGGAGACAAAGTGGGTGAAACTTTGTTTCTCCAAGCAAAGGCAGCTGTTTCTGCTTCAAGGTGCACAATAGAAATTCTCCTTCAAGGTGCTGCTTTCTGGTGCTCTTCCTTAAATGGCCATAAGTGTTTGCACACTGGAAAACTCGTGACGTGACCTGCGAAATCCAACCTCCTCACTCTCCTCCCCAGGTGTCCCATCCAGCACTTCGGCCATTGGCCTGAGGTGCAAGAGACTCTGGTGGAACTTTCTGCTTGCAAAGCCCATTGGTGCGGGTGTTCAAGGACAGCTGGACATGCACATGGTAGGCATGTCATGAGTGGAGCCAGCTGGAGCCGGGGGTCAGACTAGGTGGCCTTCTGACTTGCTCTGTGCCTGTGCTTTTATGCTGGTAATGAACAGCTGAGGAAGAGCATATCCCTGCTCCATCAGGGCCACCAGCCCCAGCTGGGTACCGTCCAGTTGTGGTGGCCTACCACTCCCAGAATGTGCCCACCAGGACATCTAGACGTACAGCCCCAAACACGTACAGCCCCTGTAAAAATAAATGGGGAGCAAGTGTTTTACAACTGCTTACTAGATCGAGGGCAGAGGCCTGCATGCCGCTGAAGCTTGGCTCCTGCCCCTCCCAGCTGAGTACGCTAATCCGGAATTGACTCGCTTTTGCCTGGCAAATATATTGGCAATATCATTATGACATACGAGGCTGATGCAACACTGCTCGTGCAAATTGTGCAATCTTCCCAGCATGCACCTGTTGATCTGAAGATACTCAGTGTGCCTACTGAGTTATTTAACTTTTAAAAAATTCTTGCTGCAAGAGCTGGTACTGGGTATGAATGCAACTCACGTCGGTGGAATTTTGCGGGCAATCTCCCAATGGCTTTGGGCAGGCAAGGCCGGTCGGGTGGCGCTGATGGCGTCAATGCAGCAGCTGCTGTGGTCACTGCCCCACACTTCCCCTACCTGTTGTCCTGGCAACATGTTGGACTCTGGCATGGATGGGGGATGCTGGGAGTTAGAGTACAAAACACCTTGAGAGGGTGCCTGTTTGAGGATGCCTGGCCTACAATCTCTCCGTCCTGATCACCCCCTTTTCCTTCTCCTTTCGTGTTGTTGCCTTTCGCCTTTCCCTTCCCTGAGGTGCCCAACACTTTCCCCACACGGTCTGGGGTCCTTGGGAGCTCATGAGCATGGGAAGTTTGGTGGCGTTGCTTCTGCAGATCGAACTGCTGTTAGCGGCACAAAAGCTGGTGGGACAGGGCTTGCTGGCTCTCGGATAATAGCAGAGCAGCGTCCTGGGATGGCGGGCTGGGGATGAGGCCAAAACGGTTGCGCTGGTCACTTTGCTCATGTCTTCTGTTGAAGACCAACACAAGTAGGGAGGAATATAACCAAAGAGGAAACCAGGCAAGGCTGGCGACTCCTGTATTAACGGGGCACCTTATCCAATGCAAGTTTTCTCCTGAGCTTTGTAGAAGCTACGTGTGGGGCTGAACACCCCAAAATAGCTTTGCCACCATGGGCTGCTCCTGTAAAGCACAAACTAAAAGCTGCGATGGATAAGAAGCCCCACTGCTGTTGGTCTCACCAGGGTGTGGGGTGCATGTACCCCTTGTAAAAGCCACGGGAATTCGACGGAACTCGCATCCTGCTAGAAAGAATCTTTCTCCAGAGCCCATGGACTAAGCAAGAAAGGTGGGTGCTTTCTTTCTCTGGGTGCTTTCAGCCCAGGCGTTGGCACAGTCACCAGATCCAAAAGAAGGCAGGATCAAACCAGTATCAAACCAGGTTAAGCGCTTGTATAAGAGGCAAGCCAAGTTTGCTAGGATTTCTCCCGGCATGCGATAAATGACGGCAGTCCAGAGTCGTCTTCCACGTGGGTGCAGAAGCCGTAGAGGCCTCGCAAGTCAGGCCCAGGCCTCTGCCTTTGTCTGCCCTTCTTTGCGAGTTGGATGGGCACTTGAGCTTTCCTGCTTTCCCTGTGTACCAGATGATCTCAGACCAGTGGGATTGGAGTTTGGCTCTTGCCAAAGCTCACTTGCTAGGACTAATCTCACTCCTACCGATAGGAGCACCCAATTCCCGCCATCCAAGAAATGCAGCCATTTTCTTTCCAGGGGGGCTGGCCATCACGTTCCGCATGCGCTCCTCCAGGCTTCTGTTCCCTGGTCTTTTGTTTCCTAGCATGTGCTCTCTTCCTGCTGGCCATTTAGATGAGGAAGTACAAGGAAAGACAGTTAAATTTGCAGGCAACACGAATCCTGGCGGAATAGCAAACACCCTGGAAGACAGAGATAAGATACGGGGCGATCTCGATAGGCTAGAACGCTGGGCAGAGAGGCACAGCATGAAATTCTGTAGGAGCAAGTGCCACCTCCTGCACTTGGGAACAAGGAATCAGATGCACCCGCACAAGATGGGGAACACCTGGCTCAGCAATAGTGCAAAGGAGAAGGCTCTTGGGTTCTTGTGGATCACAAGCTGAATATGAGCCAACATTGGGATGCAGCTGCTAAAAGGGCAAATGCTGTTTTGGGATGCCTTGACAGAAGCATCGCTTCCAAAACACAAGATGCGTTAGTTCCCCTCTACTCAGCACTAGCTGGAACTCTCCTGGAGTCCTGTGTCCATTTCTGGAAACTTAAGTTTAAAAAAGATGCAGAAAAGCTGGAAAGGGTTCAGAGAAAGATCCAAGTCCTGTGACGAAAGGCAGAGAGCTGGGCATGTTCAGCCTCGAGAAGAGAAGGCTGAGGGGGGACAGGTTAACCCTCTACAAATACCTCAGAGGCAGCCACAAAGAGTGCAGGACATGGAACAATGGACTGAAGTTAAAAGAAACCAGGTTGAGACTAGACTCCAGGAAGAACTGCCTTATTGCCAGAGCAGTACGACAATGGAACCTGTTACCCGGGGAAGTTGTGGGCTCTCTACGGCCATTCAAAAATGCCTGGACGGTCACCTGAATGGGATTGTGCAGGGGAAGGGCTGGGACGCAATGCCCATCTGGCCCCTTCTGACTCCACTGTTCTGTGATTCTATGCCTCCCCTGGATGGCAGGCTGGAGGAAGCTGGCTCAAGGCACAAGCCTCTTGGAGATCAGAAGCCTTCAAGCTCAGAGGCATCCAGTCCTCCAATGTAGGGCAGGAGGGGTGGCTGAGACAATGTTCACCTCCCCACGGGTTCAGCTTAAGGGGGCGCTTTGGGGGGTGGGCGAGATCTCACATCCTGGCCTGACTGGTCTCCTTCACTCTATCCCTGTTCCTCCTTCCTCAGAGGTCACTTTTCCAACCTCAGAAGGTAGCCATGGCGGCTACGATGGTGCCCGGGGTGGGGGTAGGATTTTGGATCTCTGCCTCCCCCTTCTGAGGGTGAAGCCCTGTCCTCTGCCTTAAAAGGGGCAACCCACCCCAGCTTCTGAGTTGTGGGATGCCCACCCAGGGCCCTTAGGATCACTCTTGGGAGCTCTGCACCCCAGCATCCTTGTGACAGTTACATAAGGCCAATTAGCTGCTGCAATGCAAGTCCCATCCAGGAAGTGTGGAGGCTGCATTGATCAGACAAGCTTCCAGGAACAGCTCGGGCCCGCGTCTTCTCGTTGTGCTTGCACCTGTCACCATCCGAGGAAGGAGATGTCGAAACTCTGCTGGTGTCAGCGAGTCACAAACGACACCCTGATTTGATCTTGCTCTTCCATCTCATTTCAGGAGGTGGTTGAGTTTGTGAAGGGTGTGCTGGACGTGGGCAGGGGCTGAGTGGAGGGGTCCACGCATCATGCTTAGCCATCCTGAGAAGAAACCACCCTGAGTTGGTTGTTGGCTCGCTAATTCAAGAGATGCTTGGCGTTTGGGCGGCTAGTTCTCCACCCACATGCGTCCCCCCGGTCCTTCCACCAACAGCTTTCCCAGATGTGTATCCTGACTCGTATCCGTACATCAGTGCCCTCTGTGTTCACGGGGACTGCCAGTTTGTGGGGGAAAGTTTGATGCCCTCGCATCAAGCCACCGAGCAGAATAAATTTCAGTCCTCATGAACACAGTGACACGCTCGTGATTTTAAAACATTTTTTCCAAGTCTTGCACAAACGTGGAAGTGTCTGGGGAGCCGAGCCCAGGGAATCCCGTGATTCCCACCCGCAAAACAGACTCCTTACATGTCCCCTACCGCTAAGCTCTACTTTCTGCTTCTGGATTCTTTGCAGGATAAAGATTCTTCCCTGGACACATTTTCCAGGCCTTTTCTTCTTTCTCTGCCTTCCTACATCACACGGCCATGTGGTGGTGCTGCAGTGGAGTGGAACTGAAAAAACCGGCAGCCATTTATTGCAGTTCATTTAGCCGTTTCCAAAGAATTCTGTATTTTTGATGCTGTAAACGTGCTGCAGAAATGCTTGGAAGGCACAGGGAAGCCCCACAGAGCCTGGGAAAAGAAGCCCCAAACTCAGGCCAGGCAGAGGTGCCCCGTCACTAATGGGGATGTCCCAGGAATTGGGGGGCAAGGAGGCTTGGAGGGCGTGATGCTCTCCCAAAAAGACAGGCCTGAGATTGTGCCACTCTTAAGGACACCAATTCCTGGAGAATGCAGATATGGCCATGGTGAAACCCACCATAGCTACATCACATCCAGACCTTTGGCTGCTCAGAAACTCCAATCAGTCCAGGAGGTGACTAATTGGGAGTATGTTGAATGGCAGAACCCAAAGTCCCAGCAGCAACCTTTTAAAGACCTGTGTGATTTGGGGTAGTCAAAGGGTTGCCTTGTTGCATATTTATTTGCTATTTTATTTATTATAAATATTTATATACTGCATTGCATGATCAAGTCGTAGCATAGTGTACACAATTCATGAGAATAACATTCAAAATAAAAGATTTTTGCATCTTAGGGTGGGTACCAGGAAGCACTTCCTGACAGTCAGGACCCCGAGGTGTGGAATGGGCTTCCTCGGGAGGTGGTTGAGGCCCCATCGGTGCGGGTGTTCAAGGATAGGCTGGACGTGCACATGGTGGGCATGTCCTGAGCAGAGCCGGGGGTCAGACTAGATGGCCCGGGAGACCCCTTCTGACTCACTCTGCTTCTATGTTTCTATGTAGGCATGTCATGAGCGGAGCCGGTTGCTGCTGGGGGTCAGACTAGATGGCCCAGGAGGTCCCTTCTGACTCACTCTGCTTCCAGCCTGATCCAGCCTACAGAGCAAGCTTCCACGCCACTGGCCTGTGACACACGTTTTCCCCCTGCGGATGACATACCCAGAGAGCACGCTGCATTTCAAAGGAGGGGTTGTTAATTAATAGCGTCTTGTGATTATGCGCATGCCAGGGTGGCGCCCATGGAGTATCTCCGTCCCTTCCTGCTGCGGTCTGATTGTGAAGGGCCAAAGTGCGCGCGGCACGGGAGACGCGCAAGCCACTCTGCCACGGTTATTTTTATGGGAAAGCTGTTGCCGGAGACTTTGGATTTGATCAAAGGCATGGAGGGCAGTGTGGGGGACTCACTCTTTTGCCCCAGTCCTTCCACCCCACCCTTTTCGTGGTGTAATGCTCAGGGGACGTGCTTTTCCTCCTGGGGCTGGACAAGGGCCACTGAACTGGAGGAGAATCCCAATAAGAGAGTGATCCTGCTCCGAGAGGGTCCCAACTGCAGGAACTGGGTTGTTTGCCTCTGCTGGGAGGGGCAGCACTCTTTTGGAAGTGCTCCTGCAGCTGCTTCCGCTCTGGATCTCAGCAACAGGGAATGCCAACCACCCGCTCCGGCCGGTGCACCAGACCCACCTATTCCAGGATCAGGCCTGCTGATCCATGCATGGCCACCTCCTTCATGTGCCCCGTGGGGCAGTTTAGCGGCCAAGGCTTGTGCAGGGAACAGCTGCTGGCAAAGCGAGGCCGTTGTCCTTCAAAGCCCGGCACAGCTCGGGACCCGGACGGCTGGCAGGCGGCCTTGCCCAGCTGGGCCAGGGTCATCCAGGGAAGCCTCGCTGGTCATTCCAAATGTACAGAACCATCGCTGCGGGATGCCCCTGTGTGGGTTTTCTGGGTTGCAGCACCCAACTCTGTGGGAAAAAACCTTCTGCAGTTTGGGGGCCAGAAAAGCAGACATCTTTCAACCCCCTCTTGAAAAGGCACCTTAATTAACACAATGTATTTTATTGTTTTAAGCCTTTTAGAAGTGCTCTCGGGTTAGCCACAGTGCCATGTTCTTACAGAAAGGCAGTGTATAAGTCTAAAACTTCATCTAAGTGGGGGTACCCACAAACCTCCTTCTCAGTGCCCCTTTTTTCTGCTCAGCTCCTTGCCTCTCTTGATATTTTATTTTATTATTTCATTTCATTTCATTTTTCATTTTTATGGTTTTAAGCAGTAACTCATACTTTTAACTGGGAGGCCAACCGATGGCAAAGCAAAACAGGGCCCTCTGAGTTCACCTGGATTTAAAAGAGTGTTTTCAAAGGTATGAACTTGGCTTCGTAATTAGGCTCTTGGGAAAGGGAGGCTTCCTGTAGGCACACTGGTTTGCCCCCTGGGTGCTTTGTGCCCTCCGGCAGGCAGCCTTCCTATGGCTGGGCAAGCCCTGCCCCACTGCAGCCATTCTCTGATGGCACTCTCAAAATTGCAGATGTGCCCAGCGGCCCAAACGTTTGCCGTTTGCTCTCCAAGCCCGGCTGCTATCGGAGAACCTCGGTGGGAGCCACTGAGGTGGTTTTTGCTCCACCCTTGAAATTTAGCCCCTCCGACACTTTTCAAGCTGCATTGAGTTCAGGAGGGCCACTGACTGTCAGCTTGGACTACACCTAGCAGTACCTCTGTTGGGTTTTTCCCATCCCCTAACTGGTCTGACCGAAGATGCCAGATATTAAACACAGGGCTATCCACAGATAATGTGGATGTTCTACCATGGAAAATCGATTGTAAGGAAGATGAGGTTTTAATGTAGGTTTTATTCACTGGATTTATTGGATGCTCTGCTTTATTTTTATCTGTTTTTATTGTAAGACCATCCTGAGACAGTTGTAGTTGGACAGTATAGAAAAGTGCTAGCTAAATAAATAAATAAAGGTGGGCTCACTAGTGAGAGGTGGGGGCAAAAAAAAGAGAACGTGGCCTTCTCTGCATAGATTCGAAGCTGGTTCCTGCCAATTCCCCTGTACAGCCATTCTTGATTGAATGCCCTGTTCTTTGCTTTTCGTCTGGGAACTCCTGCCTTTCTTGTGTGCATGAAGTTCTTTAACTGAATAGTTGAATTGTAGGACACTTGCAGGAACAGGCCAGCAGTCCATCGAGCCTGGCGCCCAGTTCCCCTCAGGGTGCTCCCAGGAGGAAGAAAGATCCCAGGGGATGGTCTGAACATTTCTACCAGTTGGTCTTTATTGTGATTTTCACCAAAACAAACAAACAAAATATCCAGATGAAAATGAGGAAGGAAAAAGAAGACACCTGGATAAATTATACAGATATATCAGCTTCAGCAAAGGTATGTCCCATTGAGAAAGGGATCTGTAGGGCATTCAAGAAAGGAAAGAAATGGAATATTGAAAGTGTTTGTCTATCCATTGTGTTTAGCTGGTGAGCTCTTATCTTCCCAGGGTTGCAGCATGCAAAAAATCACAACAGCTATTGCAGAAGCTGAAATCGCTTGGAACCTGCCCGCAATTTCTCCATGCGCACAGGAGTCACAGAACATGAAAGACGAGTGGCATCATGTTCTCTCCCAGCAAGTAGAATTTGTGCTAACCTGTTTATGACAGGCATGTTGAGAAAAAGGTGAACGTCCCAGTGAGATTTTGGCAAACTCTCTTACGTGGCAGGGAGGTCAAAATGCAATTGCCGCCAGGAAAGAGGACATGGCTAACAGAATTGCTCCTCCTGCAGAGATGAATTTCTAATTTTCAAGTTGATTTGGTCTATACGGTAAAGATGGTAAAATGATCAGAGCAGAATAGTATGTGTTTTTCTCATGGGAGAGTCTTCTGGGAATAGACCTTTCACAGTGGTGGCCTCTTCCAGCTCCTGTGTGAGCAAAGGAAATCACAGAGGCGACGGTAAACATAAGTAACAAGAAATTTCTTGGTCTAGGAGGGATTCCCACTAAGCAGTGTGAAACCTCCTTTAGCCTTCCAGTTTCATAACAACTGCATTTTTATACCTCTGTGTCTGCACCAGGCTCCCTCTCTGGGTGGTTAAATTATGCTTTTATTATGTGGTTTACAAGCCTGGCAAGCATTACATTTTTTGTGCTTTTAGCCCATCTCATTAATGACTCTTGGTATTAAAATATTAACTGCAGTCCTGGCTGAGACCACAAAAGGTTATTACTCTGCCTGATTGTGTGAGATTCATTAAACATAGGCAGGGGGTTAATAATCTCAGATTAGTTATTTAACAGGGTTAAATGCAGACAGAAAATATGAGGTTGCTGTTGTTTCCTTGTCATTTAGAAAAATTCATTGGAAAATTATATATTTATTTATTTATTAGACTTATTCGCCTCCTTTTTTTCTTACAAAGAACTCAAAGCTGCTAACACCATTCTCCTCCTGCTGCTCTCAGTCTGACCTCCTCAACAACAACCCTGTGAGGTAGGTCAGGCTGAGAGTCCAAGACTGGCCCAAAGTCACCCAGTGGGCTCCATGGCTGAGTGGGGACCAGACCTGGGACACCTGCATTCCAGTCCTGCACTGTTCCCCATTAATTCCGCTCCCCAAGCCAAGAACTAAAGACACAACGCTCTTGCCATCGATTTTATCAAATTCTTCCCTCCTCCTGTTTCAGAAGCTGTCGGTACACGTTGGCTTCAGCCCCTATTCCTAGGGGATGATTGGGGGAGTGTGTAAAAGCTGCTTCTGCGAAGGAAACAGTTTCAGTTCTTGCAGTCACAAGCAGTTCTTATCTAAGGAATAGATTTCAAAGGAAAGTAGTTCTAAAACAAGGTGTGCTTCTTAAGCTGAAGGCCGCAGGGCACTGGCTGCAAAAATCTCTCTATTCCCTACAGAACCTTTCTGAGGACAGAACCCATCCAACACGTCCCGGAAGCCCTGGCATGTGCAGTCAGAGCAAGAACATTCATGGCTTTGTGCAGAATTGTTTAGTGTTCAAATACGTCTTTTGTGCAGGTGCGTCGCCATCTCTTATCTTGCACTTTCAAGCATCTCTTCCAGTTTTGAAACAGCAGATTCATGCTAGGTCCATTTCGGTTTCCACCTTCAGTTTTGCAAAACTTACCTATCTTCTCTCCCTAAGGTTGCTGTGACGTGAAAATCCAGTTCAGCCAAGCCACCAAGTGCTCTTTTCCAAGCCGATGCTCACCTTTCCCCTATTTAGTGAGAGCAAAACAAGCCATCCAGCAACACCCACACCTTCTGATGGGGCCAGGAATGAGAGCAAGGTTTATCTAAGAACACAGAGCATGCCGGTTCATGAGGAAAGTCTCTCGGCGACTGGGTGAACAAAACTCAAAACTCAGTTTGCAAAACTCAGGCGATCCTGGGGACATATGCCCCCCCCCCAAATATCCTGTTGCAAAAGGAGTGTTTGTGTGTTACTGTGGGGTTTAGAAAGCTTTGACAAAGGGGAATTTAACTTATCCTTGGAGGGGAAGGCACTGCCTAAGGTGGGTACATGCTGGCCACTGGCTTACCAGGCAATGACCACCTCAGATGCCTTTTGCTGCAGGTGAACAACGCTGGACTTCTCGATTTGTGCAAATGGAGCCATTAAAATAAATAAATAAATAAATAAATAAATAAATAAATATATATATATATATATATATGGGGGACATTTCTTTTAAGGGTTGGTAGGCACAGGCACCTCCTTGTCAGGAAGTCTTGATGGCAGCCGCAGCAAGGATAACCAGGTTCAGTCAGGAAAGACCCCTTTCGCCTTGGACCTTAGCACTTTTATTGCAAGACCCTGGCAGTGACTTAGAACAGCCTGCTCCCGGGTCGTGAGTCTCACTGCCAGCCACAAAATCACAGCCCATGTGCAGACACTTTCATAACCTGCTAGTCACATATACCAATACATAGTGTTCAGCTGCCAGATAAGGTTGGCACAAGAGCGTCTTGATGTCTTCGGGCGTGACAGAATGTTCTGAACCGATCAGAAATGCTGGTAACAATAGCATGGGACACATGACTGATGGTTTTATTGACCTGTCAGCTGAGTAGTCCTATTTGCAGTTGGGATCCTGCTTAAACATGCAAACGCATCTGATGGAGGAACCAATCAGGAAATCTGCTTTGACATCTGCACTTCACAGGGGCTTGCCTCTGTGGGACTAGATCATGGGTCCTCAAACTACGGCCCGCGGGCCGGATCTGGCCCGCCATGCCCGTTTAACCGGCCCACCCCAGAGGTTTTACCCTCGCTGCGTGCGTGGGCATGTGGCTTACTTGTGAGGACATCGTTTTGGACTTGCTCAGAGAAAATGGTCCCCTCGCAAGCAAGCCGCTGCCTCTTCCCCCGTGCCCCCACCCACCGCCAGCACCTTTCAACTGGTCGCCTGCTGAAAGTTTGAGGACCCCTGGACTAGATGTTAGGTGGGTTCACTCAGAAGTAAATGGACACCACTGTTTCAGCTTTTCTGCAGCTGATGAGAACACGGGCACTTCCTCACTAACAGTATTCGCCTCCAGCAGCTTCTCCGTCCAGCTAAGAATGCCAGCTTCGTAAGGCAACAATAATGCTAAACAGTGACCTGGCTAGGAATTCTGGTGCCTTCTGAGAAAAGGGGAGCAGGTTTGATTTCATAACACGAAGACACATATAAGCAACCCTTTTCTGCCACGATTTATCTGAATTTTCCCAATACCCTCCAAGGTGCTGCTGGGACACCTTAGTGGGGCTGATTGCAGCTGCCAAATGAGGGATTCTGAAGGGCATGATCCAGGGCTTGGAAAGACTGCCCTATGAGAAGAGACCAAGTGAACTGGGCATGTTCAGCCTTGAGAAGAGAAGACTGAGGGGGGACATGAGATCTCTCTAGAAATCCCTCAAAGGCTGCCACAAAGAGGAGGGTCAAGATCTCTTCTTGCTGGTGCCAGAGTGCGGGACACGGAATAATCAAGGCAAATTGCAACAACCTGGATTCAGGCTGGGCATCAGGAAGAGCTTCCTCACGGTCAGAGCAACACGACCGTGGAACCAGCTTCCTGGAGAGGTGTTGGCTCTCCCACACTGGAGGCATTCAAGAAGAACCTGGGCAGCCCTCTGAGTGGGATGGTGTGACTTGGTGTCCTGCAACAGCAGGTGGGTGGACTTGATGGCCTTCAAGGCCTCTTCCAACTCTACTATTCTATGATTCTATGATGTATAGGTGCTGCTTTGAAATAAATGATTTTTAGGCAAGAGGTGCCAAGAATCATCACTGCTATTTTCATTTCCTTACTGCCCAGTTCAGCCCCACGATGAAGTAGAGTGGGATGGAAAAGACTGGCGGTGGGCATAGCACTGAGCCTGCCTCTCACAGGAACGTTGGTGCAGGGAGAAAGATGGCGGAACTGGCATGGGAGCCATGCTGGCTTCTGCCTTCTGTCATTATTTGTTTTTCGGAGCCAGGCCAAGACCTTTTTATTTAAACGTTATTTTAATTGCTAAATGTATTTATTGATTTTATACCTGTGCCAGGATGTCTCCTGATTTTTAATGTAATTGTATAGTTGTTTATTTGTTTTGGAAGCCGCCCCGAGGCTTTTGCGAATGGGGAGGCATATAAATGTTCCAAATAAATAGATAATAAATAAAATGGAGAGAAAGAATAAATGAAATGAGAGGAAACAGATTTGCCTTTTTGGCCATGCTGAGCATATGGACGGCCACTCTTCAAGATGGGACACAGCTGTTGTCAATGCCAAAGGGGAGACTGAGGCTGAGGGGGAGGGGTCTGCCAGGATCATGGGAGCAGTGAGAGTCAGCCTGTTGCCGGATGCAGTCAAGTGCTGCCTGTGGAGAAAATGAGAGGCTGGTTTTATCAGCCCCCGTGGGTGGCTGGTTAAAATTGCCCAACCTGCTGTCCACAGAAATGAACTGGCTGCAGTGCTGCGGGCGGATCTGCCACTGGGTGGATGCTGAAAACAGCAAACACCATGGCTGCTAGGTCAGAAGGGACAAACGTGCCCTTGGCAAGCTTGTTTGCTCAACACAGAGTTTCCCAACCCTTTACACTCTATAAAAGAGACTGCATGCAAGAATTCACAGGAAGGAGTGCTGAGTTTGCAGAAGGAAGGAAGACAACAGCAATTTGCCCTGAGGACAGATGGTAGAAACTTTCTGAAAACCTTCCCAGGGTCTTCGGGTGACACTAGATGAGGAAGCGAAAGGCCGTCATGAGCTTTGTCCGTTCTCCTGGGCTTGCAGAAGAGGTGCAGAATGGTCTGGCCCAGTGAGGGCAAAGTGGCCTGACAGGTGCCTTCTTCGCTTGGCCGAGGATCTGGTGGGTTTTTGGAACCCCAGCCTTGGTGTAGCAGCTGCAAGATAAAATTCTGCAGAAATTCCCCAGCTTGTTCTTTATGTTTTAGCTTATCTTGGGTATAAACATGAATGGCACAACTTGCTCTTGACAAGTTTTCTCTAGGTCAAAACTGAACTCATTCCCTGCCTTTTACAACTTCTGTATACCGGCCTCTGTCCCATACAGGGATAATTGTTGGGGTGGGGGGGGGAGGCAGCCATTTTGTGAGAGTGCCCAGGAGGATCGTACAATTCTAAACATTGAGCCAAATGGGGAAATTTCTTGGCCGCTGTGCAGCCATCTTTCTCCTCCATGCACTCGCATCAACCGGTCGCTCAGTGGCAGTCGGGGTATGCGATGCCATACACGAGCCAACGCGGATCCGTCTCGCCGGGGCCTCGGAGTTGCAACCGGGCCACCTGCACGGACAGGTGATTTGCCCAAATGCTGCTCCTCCGCTCCTTCCATTTTTCTCAAAGGCGACATCAAATGAGCCAGAGACGGCCCGGCCCCGACCATTAATGCTTTAGGAGACCTTAATCAAGTCCCCCCTCTCCGTCCCACTGTCCCCATCAGCAATATGTTTGGCCTACCTGCCAGGGCTGTTGTGAGTCTTTCGGAGACACTGGACATGTAGTACTTCAAGCATTTATGAACAAACAGCACAGCAGGGGTGTCATGGGTTGTAAGCAATCCAACATTGTTTTAATTATTTTACTGAAAATTAACCAGAAGCAATATCTGGTAGTTTTGGGGGAGGTTTTCATATGTTGTGGTTGCTGTGAAGTTATTCCTATTTTAAGGTGCATTCTCACTTGCAGATTAACCAGGAGAAGCCATGTGGGCATCTGTTCTGATGCTGAAGCAAGCCAATAGGCATATATGGTGCCCACCATGGACGTGCACATGGTGGGCATGTCGTGAGCGGAGTTGGCTGGTGCCAGAGGTCAGACTAGATGGCCCGGGAGACCCCTTCTGACTCGCTCTGTTCCTGTGTTTCTATATGGGGATATCTTCAGGTCTGTTGTGAGATTTCCTGGAGCCCTTCAAACTTCACGGCTGGTTCCAGAAACTTGCCCATCATCTCCCAGGTAGGCTGAGCAACTGCCACTTCATTTCCTAGAAGGGGCGACAAAGAATTGACCCGCAAGCCCCTTCCCCTTTTCTCTAACTGCATCTTGATGGGCTGAATTTTATTTCTAGAATGCGCTGCGTTTTCTACTCAACGAGCACCTTTCTCTTTGGAAAGTCAGCTAATGGGTATCCATTCTTTCCTAAGAAATATTATCATCTGAAATTCCATCTCTGATACACGATTAAAAGTACTGGAGGTCTGTTACCCGTCTCTGCAGCTGATCGCTTCTCTCTCACCACCTGAGAGATTAGCACCAGTTAATGCAGCAACACTGAGGTCATATTTATTTATTTATTTATTCATGAGATTTAAAGCCTGCCTTTTTCTTTTTAAAGAACTCAAAGCGACTTACAACATCCTCCTCCTGCTCTCAGCCTTATCCCCACAACAACCCTGTGAGGGAGGCTGGGCTGAGAGTCTGTGCCCGGCCCAAAGTCACCCAGTGGGCTCCATGGCTGAGTGGGGACTCGAACCCGGCGCTCCTGATCCCCAGCTCCACACTCTTGACACTGGCTGTCTTTCCTCCTTCACTTTTCTGTTCTTTTCACTACATTGCAATACCCAGTTTTGGCGCAAAGGCCGGGATGGAGCACGGTTGCAATTCTGAGGTGCACACAATTCCAAGCATGGACACACAAAGGATATGTGCGATTAGCAGTTAAAAAAAGAGGATCCTTGAATTTGGTCAGAAAAAGATAGCCAGATTAGCTTGCAAGGAGAGATTACTGGAGAATAGAGCAGCCCTCCCTTGGATTTCTCCAGCTCTTTTGCCTTGAACGACAATTTCATGGGCAAGTTCTCTGTTTTCTTTTATTCTGTGGATGTGGGGGCAGGGAAGGAACTCATAGGCAAAATGTTGCCTAGTGCCCTCCAGCTGTTTGGACTACAACTCCCATGAGTCTGTATGGTATTTATCAGTGTTGTATCCCACCTTTTTTCTCTACAAAGAACTCAGCTCGCCTTACATCATGTGCCTCCTCTGCTCTCAATCTTATACCCACAACAACAACCCTGTGAGGTAGGCCAGGCTGACTCACCTGGCTGGGGAGGCCCTGCTCTTAACCACATGGGTGCAATGTTCGCTGGAATGTTTGAAAAAGATGTCGCGGGCAGATCTTTTCCTGAGCACGGCTGACTGGGAAGGACGGCTTTGCACCGTTCCACATATGCATGCAAAGGAGCGTGCAGAAAAGGAAGACAACAAGAAAGAACTGTTCCCGGCATGAATCCACAGATCTCCCCAAGACAGCCCGGATATTGCCTCTGCGTGGTTTTAATTAAGACAGCCCACAACACACGGCATTTCTGCTGCTTGACTTGGCAGTTCCATCCCTTATCCCAGAATCTCACAACAGCCCTGTCGGTCACGCCAATGATTTCCAAGGTGCACACGGGGCATCCGAGGCTCAGAGAGGCTGACTTGTCTGGAGCAGCCAGAGGGAGACTCGGCCTGTGACCTTCGGAGCAGCCCAGTTGTGGAAGAGAATGAAGGGCAATCGTGCTCCGGCAGAGCACAACTGTCGGGTTGCAAATTTATTTATTTATTTATTTATTTATTTAAAACATTTCTATGCCGCCCCATTCGCTGAAGCCTCGGGGCGGCTCACAGCATAAATTAAAATATAATACATTAAAAATATAAAACAAATTAACAGTATAAATTAAGTTGCCCTGGCCAAAGAATAAAATAAATAAATACTATTAACAGTTAAAACAACATTTGAATGAAAAGGTCTTCGCCTGGCGCCGAAAAATAAATAACGACGGTGCCAGGCGGACCTCTCTGGGGAGCGCATTCCATAGATTGGGCACCACCGCAGAGAAAGCCCTCCTCCGGGTGCTCACCCTCCTAATTTCCTTCACAGAGGGTTCCCGGAGAAGGGCATCTGTTGCTGATCTCAAGGGGCGGGCGGGCATATATGGACGTAAGCGCTTCTTCAGGTAACCAGGGCCCAAGTCGTTTAGGGCTTTATAGGTCATCACCAACACCTTGAATTGGGCCCGGACTTCAATGGGAAGCCAGTGAAGCTGACGGAGGACTGGAGTCATGTGAACATAACGCCGGGGAAGTTATCACAGTCCGGGGAAATGCGCTTGGCTGCAGCCCAAGTGCCCTGGGAGGGCAGAGCAGCGGTGCTTCTTGGAACGCTCCAGGCAAGGTGGGTGGGCAGCCTGGAAGGACAGATCCTGAGAAGGGGCTGATACTTTGGATGTAGCAACGTGTCTTCTGGGTGGTTTGCAAGGAGCTTCTTGGCCAGGTGGAGACTTGACCTCGGCCCTCCCAGCTCTTAGGCCAGCACTCTGAGCGGGTTCAGACAACGTGAGAACTGCATTTAAGGGTGAGGCATGGCTTGTTCTTGAAATGTGGGTTACTGGAGTCTCTGAAACCAGCTGAGCGAACCGCAAACAACCCATGAACAGAAGGCATGGTTTGTTGCTGGGTTGTGAACGGTGGGATGCCACCATAGTTTGTCATCTCAGCTGGGTTCAGACAACACAATAGTCCATGTCCTAACAACAAAGTGGGGTTCAGTAACAACCCAGACACAAGCTTTTATTTTATTTTATTTTATTTTATTTTATTTTATTTTTATTTAAAACTTATTTTAATTGTTAATTTATTGGTATTTATAGGATTTTAAATCTTTTAAGCCGAGATGCACCGGGTTTTAATATTTTTGTTGTCGAATTGTTATATTTGTATATTTTGTTTTTGTTGTGAGCCGCCCCGAGGCTTTGTTGCGATGGGGGCAGCATAAAAATGTTTTAAATATATAAGTAAAATAAATAATATGCTCAACCCTTGGCTTCTCTTTGTGGGCAGTTTGTGGCAAGACTTTGGCAGCTCCAGAGAAGAAAAGAGGGCAGCGAGCAATGTTCAGGCAGTCGGATGCCACGTAGGCCTGAAAGGTGAATGCTTTGACTGTGGCATGTGCCACGAGGAATTACCGTATTTTTCACTCTATAAGACGCACTTTTTCCCCCTCAAAAGTAAGGGGAAATGTCTGTGCGTCTTACAGAGCGAATGTGTGTGTGCCCGACACCCAGGACACTGCAGGCTGCCTGCACCCCGTGGCTCCACCTGGCCGGCACGTGCTCGGCGCGCCCTGCTCCGCCCCTGCCCCCGGCGCAGGTGAGAGCTGTTAATCACAGGTCGGTGTGTGTTTTCAAATGGCAACCCGTCTTTTAATGAAGCCCATGGGGAAGTGATGGGGAATGTGCCTGTGAATGTGCCCCTCTGAGTCTCCTCCAGGCTGAAAAGACCCAGCTCCCTCAGTCTCACCTCATGCGGCTTTCCCTGCAATCTGGCCACACCTGAGTCGTATAGGGTGGTAGTAATACCTCTCTCAATCTAGAAGCAAATCTAGAGCAGAGCTTAGGCAGTGAAAATCAGTGCACCACTTCGGGTGTTGCAAGAAGATTCAGTTTCTGAGAAGTTGGGAGTGATGACTTTGCAAAAGCAAACCAGCCACAAGGCTGCCTTTTGGGTTCAGAAGGGTCCTGAAACTTTTGATTATGTCCCTTTGCAGCATCTTTGCTAAGGGATACCTGAATAGATCCATTTTGGTTCCTCTCCATTTCTGCATTTTTTCCATCTTAACTTTTGCTTCTCCTGAACTTTTCACATTTTTCCAGTACGAAACTGTCTTTGCCCCAAAGTTTAACATTTTTAAAGCTTACATGAATTTTTTATTCATTTTTGACTGCATTTCTGCACATACGTGCACTTTGTATAAAATTTTGATGAGTGTAGACATTTCTCACAAGAAATTTTCCTAAAATAACGCATTATCATTATTGTTAGTATATGCATTCTTGTGTACATGTTCCCTAATATATGCATTTTTTGTATGCATCTTCGACTGGAGTACTCTATTGCAAAATTTGGAGATGCATGAATTTTGATTTGCGCATGTCAGAAGTATTAAATTAAGTACATTATCATTAAATCAAATGCAAGGAATTTCTTTCCTATATCTCATGCCAACGGACTTCTGGCAAGGGACGGGTTGCACCTCACGAGGATGGGGAAAAGGTCCTTTGGAGATGCTCTAGCGAGCTTCGTCCACACACCAGGAAAGTTTATTGGAGACGTGGCAAGGCCTTGTGCCAGAAGGAGTGCTGGGGATGATGGCCTTGGAGTTGCCTTCCTCCATCACTCCGCCAGTAACGGCTGCTTTTGCTGTGCGAACGAGACTGTTTATGAAGCAGATTTAGTTCCCACCACACCAGGGCTGGACTCTGTGTACGTCCTGACAGACACTTCAAGAGCGGAAGAAAAGAACTTTATAATATCTGTGGCAAGGAGTGTTGTCTTCAGTCCTTGCCTTGGAGAGAGGAATTGATGCGTTGCTCGTCCAGGCGCATCCCCGGCCTCTCCAGGGAATCAGCATGGCCACAGAGAAGGGGAGCATGGGCTTCTTCTCACTTATTTACTTTCTGCATCTTTACTTCTTTGATAAGCTGTTCATCATCTTCGACACAAAGGTTTCATTTCTTCCTAAGTATCTGTGACCGATATGAGGGGCCTCGGCTGGAGGAGGGTTAAAATGGGGGCATGGCCTTTTCTTTCCCACTTTTCTACCCTTCCTTTTCAGGCCAGACCCACATTTTGCACTTCAGACCCAATGTTTGCACTTCAGACCCAATTTTTGCAAGCTTGGGAGATTTTCACTTCCTCATCTGTACTTCTCCAAGACCCTGGGGTGGTTTCAAAACATTGCTTGCTTTTGCCAGCAGTTCTGCAAAACCAAGCATGTTTTTTCTGTGTCTTCCAAGGAATCACCAGGCAGGTCTCCAACGCCCTGTATAAAAAGGAAGAAAGGGTCCTTGTTGCTTAGCGTAGAGGAAAGGCAGATGTGTGAAGGACTCATCTGAGCCTGCTTCCAACTCCAAACTGACTGCCGCCTTCCTTCCCGCCTAGACAGCAAAGATGAAGACTGCTCTGGCAGCCCTGACCATCGTCCTGCTCGCCGCTGCCGTCTTATCCCAATCTCAGACTGGCTCCAGTGAGTGTACATGATCCCCCTTTTCCAAATATTTGCTTGCACCCGGGGGGCAAGGAAGAATGGATGAGAATGCCATTCCGGTTTGCAGCTCAGCTTTCAAATGCAAGCAGGAGTGCCATTCTCAGAAGATGCTTGCCATTTCCGTTGTGATCACACCTGGAAGTGTGCACTTGCCTCACAACTGCATGTCTCTGCTTTAGCCTGGGGGGAGAGCACAGATATTTGGGTGTGCCCTTTTAAAAATGTGCATTTGTTTCCAATTAAAACAAAAACAGAAAAACTGCATGCTCATGTGGGAACCTGAAAGAGGCAAACTGAGTTTTGTTCATCCGCGCCTAGAAGTGCACACCACGACCACACAAACAGCTGCTTCTTGGAAGTCTGTTGGATCTTCCAGAAGGCCATTTCTGTCGCAACCTCTGGGGAACTCAGATGCCTCTTTCATAACACATGGCTTCTTCCTCACAACTCGTGGCTAACCTTCCATATCATGGCTAGAATGGCCTTCCTGGCTAAAGTTAAATGTATGTGTGTTTTGGAGGGCCTTCTGCATGTATGTGTAACTGATGTGCAACTGTGTGTGTGTAAAACTGGTGTTGGAGGGCCTCAACCGCAGCCGTGAGACAGGATAGCCGGGTTCAGTCAGGAAAGACCCCTTTGGCTTGGACCTCAGCCGTTTATGGAAAGATCGCCCAGATCACCCTGCAGCTACTTCCGAGAGCATTATGCTCCGGCACGATGGTTCTCACCGCCAACTACAAAATCACAGCCCATCCACACACTTTTATAACCTTCCAATCACAAACAGAGTGTTAGATTTCCAGATAATTTTATTACAATGGCATCTTCATGTCTTTAGGCGTGACATAATGTTCTAAACTGATCAGAAATACTGGTAACAATAGTATGGAAAATATAACTGATTGCTGTTCTTTTGACCACTGTGATGACAGCCAATTTGGCACAGGAGGGGATGCAGAAGCAGCCGTGGGAGTGAGGATTGTACGCGGCCCCCAAGCCTATTTTCCCCACCTTTGCTAGAGGTGCTTGTGACTCCTGAACTTTTGTCTGTGGGATGTGCCGCTCAAGGAAGACATGCCAAGCTAAAAGGACCAACCCCCTGTTTCTTTCAGGTGGCACCTTTGTGAGCTGCTGCTTTTCCCACGTATCTAAAAGGATTCCACTGAGGATTATCCAATCCTTTACATTCACAAATGAACAATGCCGAACACCGGCTGTTATGTAAGTATAGGCATTGTTCAGTAAAAGAAAGTAGAAGAATCCAGGTTCTTTCAGGCTAGATTTTAAATTTTCTGAACCTGGAGAAGCAAAACAGTGTGCTGCTGTGGCACTGCAGTGAGAGTGTCGGAAAACCCATTTGGCCATGAAGTTCCCTGGGCGACTTTGGGCCAGTCCTTGACTTTCAGCTTAGCCGAATTCTATGAATATGAGTTCTTATCTGTGGGATCAACATGAGCTCCTGAGTCCGTGGACAACAGCGTGGCCGTGGCACTTCTCTGGGTGCCACCCCCCCCCACAGATCTCCTAATTTTTCATTTTCAATGACTGTTCTCCTTCTTTCAATAAACAGGCTCTGGCTTCCTGTTTGGCCTCTAAAGGGTGGGTTTTTGGTTTGGAGCTCAGAAGCCACCAACAGTTTCTCTTGAGCTTCCTGGGCAAGCTGCTTTCTTAAAGCTCTCACCAGTCTGATCTCTGGTAAATGGGCATCTTGTGAGCAGCCCTGCCAGCTACGGTGGCCATTTCATCAATGGGCCCCATGGCAGCCATTTTGTGGGAGTGCCCAGGGCGCTCCTAGAATTCTGAAGGACCTTCTTGGCCACTGCTCAGTATCAACCTTTCCTACCCGCCCCCTCGCACCAGGTCTGCCAAATCTTGCCTCGACCGTTGTGTGCAAAGTTGCTGCTTCATAAAAGAAGCAGTGAGCACACACCGCTTGGCCTGCCTGGCTTTCTGAGCTGCAGCAGGTTCATTGCTTGAGAGAACGATTCACACAAGTATAACTTAACAGCCACGCTCAGCTTACAGTATTACCCCTTCATTTTAATCAAAGGCAGCATTAGATGTATTGGAAAGGCGTAAGGTGACCCCTGCCTATGCTATGTATTGTCCAGCCAGGGTGCACGCATGCGCGCACACACACACACACACACACACACACACACACCCCTGCTCTTGGCCTCAGTCTTCCAGTCTGCAGCATGGGACAATACCTTTCACCAACTTGCCTGGGTCCTTGTAAGGGTTTGAGATAATGGGTATGAAGAATGCCGTGCATTTAGATATGAGCAGCTCTATAGAAATGCTCTGTGTTTTCAGCTTCTCGTGGGCTTTAATCATGCTTGCAGATTTATCCTAAAAAGTGGCCGGCAAGTCTGCGCAGATGCTCAGGCACCCTGGGTCCAGTTCAGCATCTCAGAGATCTCCAGGCAGACCGAAAACAGCCCGCTTCCTCCTTCAGAGTAGGAGATAAAACACCAGTCCTGGGACGCTCAGCATGGGCTGAAGAGCACCAACATTTCCCTTGTTAATTGTGCATTTGGCTCCTACAAATATCATGAGCTCTATTCAAATCCAACTTTTCTCTTTTGAAAGTTGCGTAACAGGGTGTCCATCCTGATTTGCTCTCAAACTGTTCTTTCTCTCCGCACATCACTCCTGCCTTTACAATCCTTCCTTTTTGGATGTGCTCCACAAACATGTTTTGTGGAGATGCTGATGAGGGGAAACATTTTCGCTCATGCCAAGCCAAGCCAAGCCAAGCCAAGCCAAGCCAAGCCAAGCCAAGCCAAGCCAAGCTTCGCCTCCTCTGGCGCTTGCAGGGAGCGTGTGTCCGTCTGTGTGGGGCGCAACAGACGCATCCTGGTAACGGCAGGGCTGCTGGACAGTCTGTGTTGTTCACAGCCTACTGTTGGCTCACCTTGCTGAACAGGTGACTGTCCTTTTCTTTCAGAGTCTGACTCCAGAAAATAACAGGTTTGTCTGTATTGAATGAGAGGAGGCAGCTTCTTAAACATGCACCGTAATAATTATGCCTCTCCTCCCCAGTTCCCACTCAGCAACCGCCTGGCCAGAGTCCTGGCTCTCTTTCCAGGAGGATTCCTCCAGGCCCGCCAGCCTCCCACACGCCCGGCTCAGGGTCCAAATGGCCTCTCTGGTTTCTTTAGGGCAACTGACCGCACAAGGAACCTAAAACCATTTTGCAAAATGTGTGGCATTCCTTATTTTTCCCTGAGATTAGTTCTGCGGGGACTAATGCTGGTGTTTGCTGACTTCTAATAAATACACCAAGATTTTGCCTCCAGTGGCTATTTTAAAAATGGTCTCACGTTCTCCCTGCCAGCTTTCGGAGGCTTGTGGAAAGCAAACCTTTGAGGAAAATGGACGGATGCTTATGACTGTGTATCAGGGAATGAGAAGGACGCTTTGAGTCAAGAAGGATGGGAGGTGCATTTAAATAAGGTTTTACCACAAAACACAAAATGTTTTGCATGCCCAGAGTCCAGTCTAAGTAATGGGATGAATAAATGAGAGCATGGCTGAGTTAATGGCCGTGCTTTTCCAAATGACAAAGCAATTAGTGAAGAGCACCTAATAAGAAGGATTAATGGAAAGAGGCATCATTATTAGAGGAAGGCATAATTATGAAGGTATGTGAATGTGCTTTAATTTGAAGGGCTTTCTGAGCAAAAAGAACATCCCATGGATAAATATGTCCATATAGGCATATGCACACACATATATAGCTATATAATTTATCTGAGATATTTGTATAACTTCTTAAATATAATAAAATCCCCAATTGGTTCACATGCAAACAGTAATTTTATTGTATTTAAATAAAATTTAAAATACAATGTTTGAAAAAAAATCACTTACAAAACAGAACAATGCATGAGCAGTAAACAATAGAGAATTGATGAAGGATATAGAAGCCCAGGAAGCCTTTCTGAGGCAGACTTCCGAAGAAAAGAACATTTCCAGAAAAGAACATGCATGTGGCAGAATTAGGGATGGAAGGTCAGGCCTGAAATTCAGGACAGTGCGCGGATGGAATTTTTCATAGGGCTTGCTCTGCATCCTGAGGTATATGTACCCTTATCTGTCTTCTGTATATCCGTTTGCATACATGTGCAACAGCAGAAATGGGTGTAGGGAACGGGATAGAAAAGATTTTAAATTAATCAAAACAAACATTTGCCGGCGCCTGGCGTCCCCATGTGCGCACTCCTGAACACGTGACGCTGCTGCGGGAACTCGTGCGGCTCAGCCCTGTCTCTGCGCTTGTGGGAGCGCACGCGATTCGTTTTCTCAAAATCAGCTTACTGCCTCTTTGCCACTGCTGTGTGACTGTCTTTTTGTTATCCTTTTCTTTATCTGTATATCAAATAAATGTTATGAATAAAATTTTAAAAGCCCTACTGACTTGGATAAACCTAAATGCAGAGTGAAGGTTTTTTTTCCTTCCACAGTGACATGATTCATTTAAGTATTAGAGGGAAAGCTTGGGAAAATAAATATGGTTTAAGAGTACATATATAGAGAAAGGGGGAGGGAGGAAGAGAGAAGTTAATTATATGTTCTTTGTTTGGCTAATAGTTCTGGTCTCTAAAAACTGATAAGGCTGTGTGGGAGACATTAAGAGCTGCTAGGAATTACTGATCCATGGCAACAATGGAGGTAAATCTTTTCAAGGATGTTATTAGATCCCCATAATTACCCTTGGTCATAATAAGCCCTTTGATTTCCTCCTCACTGCAATGGGAGGAGATATTGTGCAGTTCAGGAGACTGGAAAGGGACCATCCAGTGTTTCAGAGACGAGAACAAGGTGCCACGGCTTGGCTTCAGCGCAGTTGCTTCTTAACCCCGTGGGTTTCGTCTGGACTGGGGAGACACAGGTTCAGGGCCCCACCCAGCCGCGACCCTCCCCCAAAATGGGGGACGGGACTTTGTAGGACAGTTTGGTCTTAAAACAGGAATGAGTGCCCCATTCTCTCAGGGACCTGGGCCTAAGCAACCCCCCTCCCCACTCAGTTCCCAGTGGCACCCTGTTCTCGTGCAGCACAACAGCACTCCCCTTTCGTTCTGTTCAAGACCAAGCTACACCAGTTGCTGGGGAGCATGGGTGGGGAGGTGGCCATTGCCCACCCATCTTGCCTGTGGTTTTCTGTGGTTTTCCTGCTTAGCTACTGTGTGAAGGGCGTGCTGGATGAGACGGCCCCTGGGCCTGCTCCTTCATGGCCCTTCAGACGTTTCGGTGACGTGGGTGTTGGGTGCAAGCGGTCCGGACGCTCCACCCAGTCAAGCGCCACAAGAACGAGGGGAGCAGAACTGCATTTTGCTCTCGAGAGTAAGTCCAGCGGCAAGCAAAGGGGCAATGACCCAGCGTGCAGGATCGAGTCCCCAGTGGATGGAGATGTCCATTGGGTCAAGACTCCCCGCAGCGAATGCTGGCTGGCACGTCTGAATTCGGGTAGCTCCCACGCTGACCTGGGGGGCTGGGCTGGGGTTTGCGCCCAAAGCCCTGGCAGGGGATTTCTCAGCCCCTGGCAGCATGGATGGTTCTGGCTGCATAGATGACGCCTGCGGGCGTGACCAGCCTGCCTGGGGTCAATGCCAGCCAGCCAGTTCTGACGTACATGGAGACGTGTCCTCTTGTTCCGGGAAATCTGGGAGTTGTGCTGGGCTGCTGGGGGTTTCCGAAGGGGAGCCAGCTCGCTAACTTCAAACAGGAGGGACACTGGGCGGGAGGGACGCTCGCTCTGACCCACCAGGACTCCTTCGATGTCCTTTGCAGGGTGACTTAACTGTGGGGATACATCCCCACGTTCCACTCACACATTCTGCTCAACCCCTGCATATTCATGGGAGCAATTGGGGCGACAGGCTGCTCAGGGATTATGAGTAAGGATGCGGCACAGGAAGTAAACAGGTGCATTCGCAACATGCAGAGTCTGCGAAAACATTGGGCTGACGGAAGGGGAAGCAGGCCCTTGATCACATCAAGCAGCTCTGGTGCACCCACAGCTGGAGCCTTGTGCTCAGTTCTGGGCCCCTCGTTACAAGAGGGACATAGCAAGGCTGGAATCGGTGCAGCGAAGGGCCCCTGGGATGGTGGCCGGTTGCAGGGGAAGCCGCATGAGGAGAGGCTGAGGGAGCCGGGTCTCTTCAGCCTTGAGAGGAGGATACTCAGAGGGGACCTGCTAGCAACATGCAGGTACGTGAGGGGATGTCCCACGGAGGTGGGACATGACCTTTTTTCCTCTGCAGTGTAGGCAGGGCCTGTTCCAATGGAGCAAAGATCAGGGAACCAAGATTCATGGTGGATGCCAGGAAGTACTTCCTGACAGTTAGGACCCCTGGGGTGTGGAATGGGCTTCCACGGGAGGCGGTTGAGGCCCCATCGGTGCGGGTGTTCAAGGACAGGCTGGCATGCACATGGTGGGCATGTTGTGAGCGGAGCCGGCTGGAGCGGGGGGTCAGACTAGATGGCCCAGGAGGCCCCTTCCATCCCAAGAAGCAAAAATGACAAAATGGCGGCTGTCATACTTTGAATGCACCCTGAGAAGGCCAGACTCCCCAGAGAAGGAAAGTCGAAGGCAGAAGAAGAAAAGGAAGGTCAATGATCGGATGGATCAGCTCCAGAACGGGAGCCGTGGGCTTGAGTCGACAGGAGCTGGGCAGGGCTGTCATGCACTGACCGTTCCGGAGGACGCTCATTCACGGGGTTGCCGTCAGTCAGCGATGACTCGACAGCACGTCTCAGCAAGGGTGCCGAACACCGCGATGACCGCAGGCGGGAGCCGAGCGACGCCGTCCTGTGCTCTGTTCAGAGCCCAGGCCCACACACTCATTCCCATTATGCAAATCCAGATTTGCCCCCAGGAATGGATGAGTCTTCGCACCGCACATGGTGCGTGAGTCCCGGGTGTACAAAACAGGAAGAAAGATCATGACTAACGATGCAAGCCCTTGAAGATCTGGCAAGCAACACACAAAAGCCCCAGAGGGAAAGATTTCTATCAGGTGTCTTGTCCTACCTGCATGAAACATGAGCGCAGTTAGCAACACATGATAGTCTTGGGACCTGGTGGAGGAGAAAGGCACAAGCCTTTGGGCACAAGCCCAGAAAGCCGCCACATGCTGGCCTGCCTCGCCCAGCCTGGGATACGCCAGCAGGGAGCCTCTGCTTTGCGCTGGGGCTGTACATCACGTTTGGACAGCGGCAAAAGTGGCATTTATAGGAGACATGGCAGAGGACTAGCAGCTTGCCCAGACCACTCTCCCTCCGCAAGGTTTCTTCTGAGTCCCAACAGGCTAAGCAATTCCCTAGAGGCCACAGTCTTCAGCACCCAGCAAGCCACCACTGTGAAGATGTGCTCTTATTTATTTGTTTATTTCTTTATTCTTCTGATGTGCTTCATTTTGGGCAAGGTGCCCAGAGTGCTTTACATAATTCCCCTTTTCCTCACTGTTTGATCTGCACAACAAGCGCTGTACCTTCAGCAATTAGACCGGGCAAATTGTTCATGTGTTATTTTTGCTTATTCTGATGTGTCGGTTGCCTTCTGCTCTCAGCTGCCCCACCTTTGTGAGACCTTTTGTTTGCCAATCCTCTGTGCCATCTATTGTTGCAGACCTTTTTATTCTTCTTATATGGCTTTGTAAGGTTTTGATCTATGTCAGCTGCCCAGAAAGCTTTGGCTGCGGGTGGTATAAAAATGTAGTAAATGAAATGAAACAGCTTTTCCAAAGCCTGTGCATAATTAGCACCACCTTTCCCTCTTCCTCTTCCACGCAAAGAAACAAAATAAAAACCAGAACATGGCCTGGAGCTATGAGGAGGGTCTGTGGGGACGTTGGTACTCAGTGCCCCATGCTGGAGACCCCAGCCTCAACCACTTAGCCCCACAGGCCTGTCCCAGGACCTAGGCAGGAAGAGCCCTCGGGGCCCAGGATACCCCAAAAGAACCCTGTGCCGCTGCAGCGTTTCCCAAGATCTGCTGGCCAGAGCCTTTTCTGCTAGGCCGCTGCCTCAGTGGGAGAGTGTGAGCAGGCCTCACTGGGGAAAGGCGCCACTCGCGGGGTGCGCCTTGAGCGCTCGGCCATGCTGACCCTCCAGGCCTGCCTTGTCTCCCTTCATCTCCACCAGTTCTAGGCGTGCCTCCTGGGTTTATTCATTTATTAAAACCTTTTCTAACACATCCACTACAAGTGTCTCAGGATGGCTTATGAAAAACGAGTAGAATAAAACACCGCAGCATCCGACCATTAAATACTAAAACCCCAGTTAAAACCAATTAAACATTAATATGTTAATACATCCCACTTCCTCCCATGGTGGAACTTAAGGCGCCTCCATGCCTTTCCCAAGGGTTCTCCCCGCCAAGCTCAGCCAGCCCCAGGCCTGCTGAGCTTCTACGGGATGGGTGCTCTACGTGCTGTCAGACCATATTCTGGGCCCAAGTGCTAAGTTGCGCAGGTTTGCATGCTGCACAGCACCATAATTGTGACTACTTCATTAGTGATTAATTTCTGCTGTGTCCAAATATTCGAGGCATGCTTATGGATGAGAAATGCATTGTCCACTGAGTCACGAAGCGAGGGTCAGAGATGCTTACAGAGGGCAGGGGGGCCCAGAGGGCTGACGTGATGTGGCAGAGGGACGCGGGTGCTGCCCCACATGGCCAGCCTCGTCTCACATCAGCCGCAGCGGCACGAAAGCTGGGGCACGTAGTGCAGAAGACGGCCGTGGCTTGCCCACGCAGGGGGCTCCATTCCTAGCGAGTGCCCCGCAGAAGCCGCATGTGCTGGCCAAGGACTGGGACTCGGGGCCACCGGATTCCGGGCAGGGAACAGGGTGGATTCCTGCCTCCAAAGAGGATCCCTCACATGTCCCTACCTGACTCCTGGATCTCAGCCGTTTTGCCACACCAGTTTTCTCGTTGCCATTAATCTTTATGATCTCAGCACGATTTAATTTCTACCCTGTCTTTGTAGAGGAATATGTGACGTGTATTTATGTAGGAGTAACTAATATTCTACTCTGTGCAAGAGGATCTGGTTGCTATGCCTAGAGAAGCAAAGCCACCCTGCACGCTCCATTCCCAGGAGCTGGGGCTGGGAAAGCCTCGGGATGAGCTGGGAAAGGTGTGCTAAGTACACCCGGCTTTGTGAAAACCATTGCAGTTCAAAACGCTCTGGGCAGCTGACAAACATTAAAGCTTGCAAAAGCCATATCCTTCGAACATATAAATGAAACACACACATACACACACACACCCGGGGGGGGGGGGGAGATTTTGAAAAAACCATGTTCAGCCATCGAAAATTAGGAAAAACCTGGACCTGATTGAAAGCTTCTTGGCTGCCAGCTGCCTGGAAGCAGCACTTGAAACTGTGAGCACGATGCTCCC